GAGATAATTATTTCAAAGCTTTGTCTTTTTATACAATTCAAGTTTCTTTCTTCAACATTGCCACTTAATTATGATAATAAGAGTGTGCAATACACATTTGTCATCAACACTTCATAAGATTTATTTTCAGATCAGGAGATCCTGCAACTTTTCATTTTATTCTTTAAATGCTTTATCAAAATCAACAATGGCTCTGTCAGAAACCTATTTTTGATTTATTTTTGTATTCTGTGTCTCTTTTCTTCTGCAATATTTGTAATTGATTTTTTGCATCAATTTTGCTAAGTCTGTATGCATTTTTTATATGTACGTGTTGACTTAATATATTTTCCTAAAACAGTGAATCAATATGTTTCCTGATTTATAAAATAAATATTTGTCAAAAAAAAGGAACGTTTTGTTTTTCTTTCAAACACATGTACAGCTTCATACATTTGAAATATGATGCATGTAAATGTTAGTCCATGATTTCAAATTAAACAAAAACGTCAACTTATCATGGCAACCCCCACTGACACGATCATTGCTCTTCCTCCCATTTCTTTCCGTTTTAAATACTAACGAATGATGTCCATTTGCTAAAGAACATTCCCCTGAAACATCAGCTCCCAACCGCTATTAATGAGTTTGTGAAGGACAGACAAATTGAATAGAGGTTCTTGTGTAAGGATGGACACACCTTCAAACCACCCCCACATTTGATAATCGTTGAGTTTGAATCATATACTCTTAAACAAACAAATAATAAATAGATAAACTTTTACAAGAATGTTAAATGAAAAGATGTGCTGTGTAAGAATTCCAAGGAATGGCTCCTTAAGATTGTCAGATTCCTTTTTATTCAACACTTGTCTAAAAACATGGATGACATTTAAATGTTTTCTCTTTCAGATATAGTGTTTGTAATTATATTTAGCGCATACTGTAAAACCTTTTATTTTTGGTGAGGCACAAATTTTGTGGTTTTATAGAAACATTTTTGTTTGTACATTATCTAAATATCACTGACTATATATTCTTGTACCAAAGCTTTTGTTGATAATGTTTATCTGATTTTCATTTTCGTGGATATATAAATTTGTGGATTTAGAGTAACCATGAATTTAACGAAAAATAAAACCTCACAAAAATTTATGACTTTACAGTAGATGACATGTTGGTTTTTGCTGGGGTTAGTTCGTCCTAACAGCCAGGGTCATTTTGAGGTGGGGGTCTTCTTATACTTCACTGAACAATATATGCTCTAACAACTGAGCTGTTGCAATAACCTGTGTGTATGACCAATAAAGATGAGTACTTGTGCAGGTATCACACAAGTTGATAACCTATTTGTAATACAGAGAAATCAAAGGATTGAGTTCTCATTTCTAAAGAAAAAAATAAAATAAAAACCAAAACAAAAAAATTGACAAATTTCTTTGTGAAATATTTTAATTTCATAATCATCATACATGTATCTAAATTTTGTACTAATATTTGTGTAAATTCAGCAGTATAATTGAACTGTAACAGTTACCCAGGATTCTTGTGACAGTTTTCAAATGTATGTATATAGACAGTGTAAATATTTATATGTAATTAATTTTTTCTTTCATGGCAAAAGTTCTTTTAATGTCAAAAATTGTAGCCATTTCATAGAAAATTTAAAAACAGAAAAATTTTCAAAAAGCAATTTATTCATTACAATTTGAAAGAAAAACAAATTGTAGATTTTGTTTTAAAGTAAAATTTGATATAGACTATAATATAATTACAAACAGCGTTTATTGAAATACTCAATAAACACAATAAAGACAAGTCCATACATTACAAAAAACAATGAATTCAGCAGTACCAGGTAGCTTTAAATATTCAAAAATTTATAATTAGACTTGTAATTGTTGTACTAAAATACATATTGTAAAACTTCTATAACAGCGGCTTTACTTGGTTTAATTTAAAAACCTAATAAGAAATTAAATTCATATGTATTCAAGTCTCTTATGTTAAAGGGTAAATCATAAGTTTCAACGATTCATTAATCAGCAGTTTTTAGGCTAAACACCTGCTATTGAATAAGTCGTTAAAATTGACTCATATTTCTTAAAAATATCACTTTTGAAATTTTACATTATAAGCATTCCATACAGCAGTGTAAGTAAACTTCAATGTGTTTGAGAATTCAAACTTTTTAATTTTTATAATCACGATATTCAATAATTACTTCAAAACATCACATAACATACTAAATATCAGGATTTCATTAATAGTACATCATTCACATTTAAAATGATTTTAATGAAGTGAAAGCTAGTAAGCTTTTGAACAAATTTTATTTTCCTTCCCTCTTTTGTCATTGTATCTTTGGGGAAAATGTCTCAAAAATATCATTAAAATCAAATAAGTTCAATAATCTGTTTATCAACAAAATCTATATGACAAAAAAAAAATTCATAAAAATGTCAGTGTTTGAATTCTATTTTATTTCTTGGTGATTACATGTCGATATGATGCTAGTGTCAAGATGTCATGTTTGCCTCCCTCTATATCATGACATAACACATGACATCACTGCACCATTATGTCATTCAGTTATATCTGTTGACTTCATTTTGATATCACAACTTAATCATGACAAAACATGAAAAAAAAAAACAAAAACAAAAATACAAACAGCTATTATTTCATTGCAAAATAAAGTAAGTCGTATGATATCAATACTTCTGTCAATAAAAAATGTACCCTCTTAAGTGAATCATTTAATGTCATCCAAACTATGTATACAACACACACTTCAAAAGACTTACTGGTAAGTAAAAATTTGTTACAAAAAAAAAAGAGAGAGATTATGAGCTAGGTATTTTGGTAATATTGCGATTCAAGTACTTTATTTGTTTCCCCCTTAGAGCAAGAGACTAAAAAATATGAAAGCAAGTGGTCATTGATAACAGAAAAATCACTTCAAACAATTAAAAATCTTGTTCAAACAATTAATTATCACACAAAACATGAAATCATCAATTTTTTTATATGAATTGTTTGATTTAATTTGAAATTCAAATTTCATTTCTGTTATCATGCATTTAATGTAAAAATGAATCGTTTGTGTTTTTGTGTATTTTTTTTCAAATGTTGCATTCTTAGATAGATAACAATGCATATGGGAACGGTGCTAAAATATTCCAAAATCAAACAAAATTTATGGGTTAAAGCATGCAATATCTTTGATTTTAAGTATACACATTGCTAAAGTCTATTTTGAAATCCAATATTGCTTACATTTCATTAGCTGGTGTACAAATATTTGAAATAACATACCTAAGCACAGACAGAAAAATTGAATTCTTAATTGAAATATTTACCAATGATTTGAAAAAATAAGAACCTACGTCAACCCCTAAAGTTATTTTAATAGTGAGCTGACAGCATTGAGTGCAGGAAGCAAAATTTCATATAGACCTGAAAGTGTTGCAAACTTTGTAAAAACTTGGACAGAAACTGCAAATATTTCACAAAGTACAGCAATATGTGTGTTGACATGTACTACAAAGTGTTAAATTGATATAAACTTTTGTAAAATTTTCAGATTTTTACAACAATCTAGCAACTCTTTTCTGTAAGGAAAGTTGAAAAAAAAAATCACACTACTTTTCTGAACATATAAAACTTCAGTTGAAATGTTGTAGATTTTTGCCCATATCTAGACAAAATGATTTATTTCAAGATACAATTTGACATGCAACAAAAGCACAAAAATTCTGTTTAAAAACAGATAACTTTGAAAGACATCACACTCGGTACGTAAAAGAAGCAATGTATTGAAGCAGAAGAATGAAAAAAAAAGCATGAAAAGCACACAAATTACATTCTGTAAAATCCAGAATAAATATTTTTCCTGACATTCTTTAAAAACTCAAAGTTGATTAAACAATAGTGGGAAAAAAATAAATCTTCAAAAATTTAATTTTTTCTCATCTCTGAGACTGAACTATATTTGTAAAAAATTTTGAAAAACTTAAAATTTCATTGCCTTCTATACTTATAAAGCACATGAGACAACATATTATCACAGATAACAGATTTGTATATTGTAAATATTTAAAATGTAAATATGGTTGTAAACTTAGAACTCTGTAAACATACATAATACAAATATACATGTATTTAAACAAATCAAGATTTTTTACTAACACACAAAAATCCTGACAAATTTTACATAATTTATAATAAAAGGAAAAAGTGATTTTATGTATAGAGTGGACAGGTAAAACTGATTATCACCAGCACTGTGGTTAATTTTAAATACTGTATGTGCTTTCATATAATAAAAACTAGACATAAAACAGCCTTTCAAAAATAATCTGTTAAAATATCATCATTAGACTAATTCCTATTCAAAACTTCCTCTTTTTTATGTGTTAACTAATCTTTATATCACAACAGATAAGAGGGCTTATTACAGGACATATGTAGGCATTTCTTCTGGAACTGTAATAGTTATGGGTGGACCTGTTACCAGGTATAAGCATAATGCTGGACTGATAAAGGATTACATTACAGATGTAAAACTAAGAATTCGAGGTAAGCATTGCTGTTTGTATAACATTTTCAACCATATCTTTTGTTCACAGTTTGAAAAACAGTTTTAAAGGATTTTTACTTCAGAAATAAAATCATAAGATATAAGCTTTTACTTTCCTGACACAGTTTACTTATTTCACACTCAGCTGTGTTACATTTAATGAAAAGTATTTTTCATAATTTTTGTCTTATCTAGGATGTACATTTTTCTTTATACAAGCTAGTAAAATTACATATGTATATAATTCTGTAAAAAAGAAAAAAATACTGACATTACAAAATAGCTAAAAAGAACTGTTGAAATATTTTAAAATTCAATTAAAATCTTGATGACTAGCAGGCTAAAAAAAATATCCTACATAGGGTCTGATACAAGAAACTCTAAGAACACCCAAGCAAATGAAAATTCAGCTTCCTGTCAAACGTTTCAAAGAGCATGATCAGGAATATTGAAGGTACGCTCTGATGAAGTCGTTATAATTGATAATTCCTTCTACGCTTTTGTCATAATAAGATGCCAGGTGATAGAATTCTTCCTCGGAGAGATTCATGTTAAATTGTCGTAAAACTCTGCGGAAGTCCATAGCTTCTACACTGCCCGAATTCCCGGGATCAAGAGAACGGAAATTCCGTCTCATTTCTTTCCAATTTTGCATCACACAATCCCGAACCCTGATCATTGCTTCGTAAAATTGGTTAGATGCGGGACCGTTTTCAGTCTGGAAATACAGAAAACATTCATAGTTTAAGAAACTAAATTTAGTAACAACTGTTTCACCTTTAACATGACAACAAATACAATCTAGTTAATCCTTTTTAAAATAATGTATTCACAGATTCTCAGGTACACTACAAAGGATAAAATAGGGGGTGGGGGGTGGGGGCGGAGATTTCATTCTTTCATATGCTTTTCATTTTTGACATTAATGATAAAAACTTTTTTCTGTTTGTGATTGAGATGCTTGACTATCCTTTGATGCCAAAATGTATAAACATAATTTCTGTTTTTTCCATTTTTTTTCTTTTTTTTTTTGGACATTTTCACTGTATTTTGATCAGGAACCTAAATTCAAAATTCACCTTTTACCTTTGTATACAGTTCCTAAAAACCTTAACTATGTACTCACTGTTACTCGTGTCGAAGGTATTTGTTTCCTTGATGTGGAGGGACCAATTTGGTCGCCACCTTTGAGGTTTATGATGAAATGCCTGAGGAAATCAACGTAGGAGAACGTTCCATCTTCCTGAATATCATACTTTGTTAAGAGATCGCTGATGTCATGCTGTGGAATCTGTACTCCAAACTTATCAAAGATTTCTGAATGGTAACAAAAATGTATTAAATCATTTTTGAATGATTAAAACAAATTTTTAAATATCACTATTTCAGAAAGTTAAAAAGAACCACAGAAAAACTCGAAATATTGTTACTGATAAAATTAATGCTTATTTTGTGAAATACATGTAACAACTTATTAATGGGATGCTTATCAAATAACCATTATTTATCATTATTTATTTATTTTTTTTATTTATCTATTTATTTTATTTATCTATTCCAATATTTATTTATTTCATTTATTTATTATCTATTCGAATATCTATTTATATTTACCAAACTATATATACAAACTATATATACAGTGTATGTACCCCCAACTATATATACAGTGTCTGTACCCCCTCCCCACCCCCAAACTATATATACAGTGTATTCCCCCCCAACTATATATACAGTGTAAGTACCCCCCAACTATATATACAGTGTATGTACACTCCCAACTATATATACAGTGTATGTACCCCCCAACTATATATACAGTGTATGTACACTCCCAACTATATATACAGTGTATGTACCCCCCAACTATATATACAGTGTCTGTACCCACCAAACTTTATATACAGTGTATGTACCCCCAACTATATATACAGTGTATGTACCCCCCAACTATATATACAGTGTATGTCCCCACCCCAACTATATATACAGTGTATGTCCCCACCCCAACTTTATATACAGTGTATGTACCCCCCAACTATATATACAGTGTATTCCCCCCAACTATATATACAGTGTAAGTACCCCCAAACTATATATACAGTGTATTCCCCCCCAACTATATATACAGTGTATGTACCCCCCAACTATATATACAGTGTCTGTACCCCCCAAACTATATATACAGTGTCCCCCCAAACTATATATGTACCCCCCAACTATATATACAGTGTATGTACCCCCCAACTATATATACAGTGTCTGTACACTCCAAACTATATATACAGTGTATGTACCCCCCAACTATATATACAGTGTATTCCCCCCCCAACTATATATACAGTGTATTCCCCCCCCCAACTATATATACCCCCCCAACTATATATACAGTGTATGTACCCCCAACTATATATACAGTGTCTGTACCCCCTCCCCACCCCCAAACTATATATATGTATCCCCCAACTATATATACAGTGTATGTACTCCCCAACTATATATACAGTGTATGTACCCCCAACTATATATACAGTGTATGTACCCCCCAACTATATATACAGTGTATGTACCCCCCAACTATATATACAGTGTATGTACCCCCCAACTATATATACAGTGTATGTACCCCCCAACTTTATATACAGTATATGTACCCCCCAACTATATATACAGTGTATGTACCCCCCAACTATATATACAGTGTATGTACCCCCCAACTATATATACAGTGTATGTACCCCCCCAACTATATATACAGTGTATGTACCCCCAACTATATATACAGTGTATGTACCCCCCAACTATATATACAGTGTATGTCCCCACCCCAACTTTATATACAGTGTATGTACCCCCCAACTATATATACAGTGTATGTACACTCCCAACTATATATACAGTGTATGTATCCCCCAACTATATATACAGTGTATGTACTCCCCAACTATATATACAGTGTATGTACCCCCCAACTATATATACAGTGTATGTACCCCCAACTATATATACAGTGTCTGTACACCCCCAACTTTATATACAGTATATGTACCCCCTATATATATATACACCCCCTCCCCACCCCCAAACTATATATATGTACCCCCCAACTATATATACAGTGTCTATATGTACACCCCCAACTATATATACAGTGTATGTACCCGCCAACTATATATACAGTGTATGTATATATAGTGTCTGTACACCCCCAACTATATATACAGTGTATGTACCCCCAACTATATATACAGTGTATGTACCCCCCAACTATATATACAGTTTATGTACCCCCAACTATATATACAGTGTATGTACCCGCCAACTATATATACAGTGTATGTACCCCCAACTATATATACAGTGTCTGTACCCGTTAACTATATATACAGTGTCTGTACACCCCCAACTATATATACAGTGTCTGTACCCCCAACTATATATACAGTGTATGTACCCCCCAACTATATATACAGTGTATGTATCCCCAACTATATATACAGTGTCTGTACACCCCCAACTATATATACAGTGTATGTACCCGCCAACTATATATACAGTGTATGTATATATAGTGTCTGTACACCCCCAACTATATATACAGTGTATGTACCCCCAACTATATATACAGTGTATGTACCCCCCTAAACTATATATACAGTGTCTGTACACCCCCAACTATATATACAGTGTCTGTACACTCCCAATTATATATACAGTGTATGTACCCCCCAAACTATATATACAGTGTCTGTACTCTCCCAACTATATATACACAGTGTCTGTACCAGCCAACTATATATACAGTGTCTGTACACGCCCAACTATATATACAGTGTCTGTACCCCCCAAACTTTATATACAGTGTCTGTACCCCCCAAACTATATATACAGTGTCTGTACAGTGTCTGTACCAGCCAACTATATATACACAGTGTCTGTACCCACCAACTATATATACACAGTGTCTGTACCCACCAACTATATATACACAGTGTCTGTACACTCCCAACTATATATACAGTGTCTGTACCCCATCTTGTATTACCTAGTATATCATCAGCAGCAATAGTGCCTGTGTTGTTACGATCCTGATTTCTGCACAAACGTTGGATATCCTTCCAGTGACGGAAAATAACTTCCTTCAGTTGCTGTTCCGCAGACTCAGCATTGATCATCGGTGTGGCCATACGAGATGGTCCTCTAGACATTCTGGAGCCAGTTTTCCTCATATCCAGCTGTGAATCAAAAATCATAATAAAATTTAGTTCTCAAAACAGAAAATTCTCTATCTAACAAAAATTTATTTATTTATTTACAAGGCATCTATTTTTATTACTATATTTATATACATAATTCACAATAATTTTATTTTACAGCTGTGCTGTATTTCACCATGGAAACCATGTACATACAGGTACTTAGCACTGTAGTTATCTAATGGTAAGCCCAGAGGGTTTCCGAGATATTACCTCTGACTCAAAGGAACATGCAAAAGACAAACAATAGAATAATGGTATCCTCAGTGAACACAAACTGAAGAGTTAGATACAGTAGAGACAAATAATGAAATACACTACATCACACAGATATTTCGTCCTTCTAGAACTTGTCCGTGATGCTAAGGGCCTAAAAGGGGATGAAACATTATAAGTTGAATGATAAATATAAGAACTGGACAAATGTCTAAACCTAGATGGGATGGTTCAGGGGTTGGCTTATCATAATGCGATGAAATAAAAGTGGCTGGCGATCCTTATGAACAGCCCAGTAATTATTTATAGTTGGGTTTATTACTAGTTATCAGCTTATTGCCATTAAATTCAATAAAAGGCCTGAGAGAAAGGAATCATTCAACAGCTTTCTGTGTGTTGATCTGAAAAATCATAACTTTGACAAGTGTCACTCCAACAGAAAACCAAACATGCATTTTTTTTTTCTTGATTATTCAATTTTGCCAGCCATAACTGTCTCATTGAAAAAAATGTTTAAACATTGAATTTTTGATAATTGTATTTCAAATGATGATTCCTTACCTGTGTCATTGAGCGTGACATTGCTCGTGAAACAGCCCTTGACTGTGGGCGTCGTCCCAACAGAGTTGATGCAGGGCGCTGAGGAAGAGGTTCTAGTTTATCCATCTCTTCACTGGTTGATGAAAACTGCTTCATGAATTGTTTGTAGTCAACATTTCCAAACTCATTTGTTGGGATGTAAGCCATCAAGTTGTCAAACTGTAATAAAAACCATTTAAAGGTTAAAACCTCAAAACTGAAGGGAAAAAAAAAAGAAAATCCTTTGTTTTCAATCTAGTTTCAAAGGTATTAAATCATACAAAACTGTACTCAAACAATAATACTTTTACCTGTTGACATGTTTTGAAAATTCCAAGAATCTATTTCTCGGTCAATATATAAATTTTGTCTTCAGTTCTGGCAAAAGCACAACCAAGCAACTTTTAAAACACACAATCCCTCCCTCCCTCTTTTAAGCATAATTGAGTACAAATATTAATTTCATAAATCTTATCAGTAAATTCATGACATCAAAAAATCACTGACAGTAAATCCCGATATATTTGTTCTTTCCTATACTCAGATCTCTGAACCCTTCCGTCCCCCATCTCCATTCCATGTCAATATCAATTCTTCCTTCCAAGCTTGTTCCTTTATCTCAAACAGTTTCCTTACCTGTTCCTCTGTGATCCTGAAGGCGGTCTTATTAATGACTTCCTTGAAGTCCTCCTTAGAGACGACCCCAATTCCAGCGTAATCCAGGTCAGTGAAGGCTCGAGCCAAATTGTTAAAATGACCAATCACTGTTTCCTTCAAACGATTTTGTATGTCTTCCATAGAGTTTAGACTTGGTGTTTGGGCGTTGATATTTCTTGTTAGATTGGCTAACCACCTCTCTGCATCCTGGTACAGGATAATAACACAATTTAGAATAATAACAATACTGCCCTTTCTAAACGACATACACAAGAATATATAAATGCATTATAGAGACTATCCAAGAGGTAGGCACAAAATTGTTTCTTAAAATGGTCGGCCCCATCCTTTGTGTTGTATTAATATAAATTCAAGAGGCAACATGTAATTTCATATTCAAGGATTTGGGTAAACAAAATGGCTATTTTCAGGACCATAAAAAACCCTTTGACATTTCTACTGATTTGTAATAGATATAGGTGGGCTTATTACAGGCTCATGAATACAACCTATTGGTGTTTCTACAAATTTGTAATAGGTGTGGGTGGGCTTAGTACCAGGCATGGACTTATTATCATGAAGGTAATATATAGCAGTAAAAATGTTGGAACTAAAAAATTGACTCTTTAATACAGGAGATTTTCTGAAGAAATATTGTCTCTTTACCTTGATATAGAAATTAAATTAACAAAAAGTTATTGATTAACTTGGGAAAAATGGGCAAAAAATATAAAAATTTTGCAGAGCATGAACAACATACACGGTTACAAGATAATTTTAAAATCCTACAATAAACAAAAAACAAATAACAGGAAAAAAACAAAAAACCATATGCGTTAAACACAGGACAATGTGAAATGTCATATGTATATTGCACAAAAAAATATATACATATATAAGAATGATAACTCTTGCTGGGAACTTACATCTGAAGTGTTGACAGTGTTGTTATCCATGAACATGAGATAGTTGACTTGGTTCTCTGTGATCTGGAGCCGAGTCTTTAGGTATTTCCACTGAGCCTCGGTCAATTTAAACATGAAGATATCTAATGTTCTTCGGAAATCTGCCAATGGCATCATGTTCGTTTTATCTTTATCAAAAGCTGCAAACGCCTGAAATGATAAAGTCATAATGACAATGTCATTTTTGAAAATGGCTGTTCTGATCTTTTTGTTAACAAAAGACAAAAAAACTCTCTTATTCTTTTAAAAGTGTAATCTGATGTTTTCCAGCACATAATTAAACCCCTATCAATGTATAAGAACAAGCACTTATATAGCTTAGAGAGAGTTAAAACAGATTGAACATATATGGATTTACTGGTAATTAAATCTTATTACAGCTAACATATGACAACAAAATCTTTAGAAATTGAAATATAACTACTGACCTCTTTTGATATGGCATTTATAATAATCGTAAATGTCACAGCTAAATATTAAACGATAACAGCACCTATATCAAAACAATTTAATGACGAAATGATGCTCGTATATTCCATGACACTAATTTTTTTGGTCTATTCTTCCTAATTCCAGACAAGGAAAGATTTGTTGACTCTATCCACTCATATGACACATCTGCAGAAAAGTGAGAGAAACAAGGGGAGGTAATTCGATTTTACCTTGCTTAGAAGGTCGTAGTTTTTAGCGACCATTTCACGCAGGCGTCCCTCAGCCTCCTGGGGTGTGAGACCTACATACTTTGAGATATGTAATTCAGGTGTTCTATGTCCATAGGCAGACTTGCGTCCATCTTCAAATGCCATCAGGAAAGCTTCATAGTTAAGGCGACTTCTGTTGGTAGGTAATCCAATCCTACAAGCAGAAAGAAATTCACTTAATGAATATTTTCATAGAATTTATCAATGTCTGGTAATAAGTCCATCCAAATCAAATACAATAACTTTTTTACACAAATTTCAACAAATGCTGTTTCATTATGACATAAGCCTGCTTGTCAGTGTCTGACAATAAGCCCATTTTTGAAATGATAAGCCCATCTATAAATATTGCTGTTCTGCTGGAAAATGCTTTTTCACAAATAAAAACCCATTTTCATGCTTTCAGACAAAGATTATGTGTAGGCCTTCCTGGGTCCCATGTAGGATGAATATAATTTTGTAGCAAACTGTTTTAGAAAACAACACATATATGATGTTCAAGAATTTTGCAGATAATTTGTATCCTATAAAAATAAACAAACAAACAAATAAATCAACTAACTAACAAACAAACATTAGAAAGGACATGTCACTAACTTGCATAATTTATCCCAAGTCAGCATAAATTAATCATACTCACCTATCAAGGAGAAGGAAAAATTCCTCATCAACCATAAAGAGGCTGAAGTCTGTGAGGACCTTCTGGACATCTCTAACAGACAATGAACCTTTCTTCTCTGTATCGTACTTCATGAACGCAGCATAGAAATCTTTGTAGTTGTCCCTGATCTTATCTCTGGGGATAAAAAATAACTTTTTATTGATATCTAAATAACATTAACAATGAAAGCAAATTCTTGTGGGTTTCTTTTTTTTTTTCTCTCTTTTTTTCTTTCTTTCAAAATTCAAAAACTAAAATTTATAACTCACATTGAAACGTGATTATATGATAATTTGAATTGTAAATTCTGGACTGAAATGTCTTTTATCTAAATATCTTAATTACACTCTTTACCCTTTTCCTAGAGATTTGACATCTTGATTATAAATCACTTAATACAGTCATATTTATGAATAAGATACGAAAGCCTAAGTATTCACCTCAACCCATTTTTTCACGAAGTACACATGTACCTATTTTTTTTCGGACTCAGATATTCTACATATATTTGTGAATCATTAAGATGTTACCAATAATTTCACACTTCATTTATCAGTTTACACAATACCTGAGTTGTCGCTCCACCTCTTCTGCAGACATAAACAACACCCGCTCTGCCTGGTGTTGCGTGATCCTTTGATGTTTGCCGAGCTGTTGTTTATTATGGTCGATGATGTACTGTTTACTGTCATTGATGATCTTGCTACTCGTACCGATGATATCAGTGGGCGTGAACTCAGCGGACGTACCCAGCTTCACCAGGAAGTCTTTATGTGAAAGGAAACCTTTGCCAGCTGTATCATACCTGATGGAGTAAATTTTTAATTAATTTCATTATTTATCAATTATTACGATATCATGGATGAAACTGAAGAAAACATCTTACAATACAAAGAAGGTGTTGGATAGAAAGTGAAAAAAGGGCCCAATTTAATTTCATATTTTACAACTCGAAGTTTACTAAATATTTTGTACATACATTTCCCATAAGCCTTTAAATTCCTCTGGTGACATGGGTAGCACAAATCTAAATAACAAATCTCTCAAGTCTCGCTTTGTGATGATTCCTTTTCCACGGGAGTCGATACTGATAAATGCCTGTAAAAATACAAAAATACACACTCAATATCAGACACTTATATTGAGCAAAAAGGCTTATCTTTTTTTTCAGTAAAGTTATCTCCCTTGAAACTCTTACAAAAAAATATGCTCAATATGACTCACTCATGGTAGTGTAGCTAACACATATGAACATGAGTTGAAAGTTCATCTTAGTTTCGAACTCTTTTCTCTTGAGGTTGTAAAAGTACAGTAAGATATACCCTTAACTGAACTGGTTTTAAAAAAATGTTTTTTTAATAAAGGTGTTCAATGCTTAGCTTAATTACAAAAGTTCATATCAATCTATTATTATAAGTTGTGTTATCTTCAACTATGATCTTAAATATCATGAAATATTAATCTGATTATCAAACAATTGATAACCATGATGAACTTAATTAGAATAATAATTTACATACAGCATACTTTGAATATAAATTATTTGCAAAAATTAACTAATCTGAAAATAAAATATTTGCAAAAATTCACTAAGTGTTTCAGTAAGCATTCCTAATGTTTTTTTATCAAGTGATAAACTGTTTTAAATGTAATTATTTATTATGAAAATGTGAAGTGCCCCACAAAATTGACTAACGCCAAATAAATATTTCAAATTTCTCAAAAAAAAAATTAATTAATAAAAAATCCTTGTGATTAAATAACATTAACTAGTACTGACCCCTGCTATGTCCTTCCACTGCTGATGGACTTTCCGTTTCAATTCTCCATGGGCTTCCATTGCTGTCAACTCTGCAGTTGGCTGTGTGTCGTTATATCTAGAACAATATCATATTAATCAGTCCATAACGGATGTAATCATAAGATAAGAATTCAGACTCACATTGTTAGAAAATAAATTTTCTCATGTTTGATTTTGATTCCTGTATTTTTATTACTTTTTTTTGTTATTCAAAACCATATTAAATGATTTCAAATATCAATTTTGATTTTTTGTCTAAATCAAAACTATTCAACAACAAATTTTTCAAAGCTTTAAAAAAAAAGAAAGAAAGTTTTGACATAATGTACCAAACTGTACATTAAATCAAAGGAATCTGTATGTGTTTACAGTTGTTTCATTGAAATAACATTTGTTGAAGTTCTTTTTTCATGTTTCATTAATCAAACAATTTCCAATTCATCAATACAAAATTTCAATACATGACAAAATGACATTAATTTTTTCCATTCTACTGACCTATGAACTGAGTTGAGCCACTTGTGACCTTCAGCAGTGTCCCTGATCTCAAATCTCCGTAAGAAGTCTTCATATGTTATCCGTGACTTGGAGTCTATACCCATTCGTTTACACAAAACTTCATACTCATCGTCCGACATTATACACATGAACGAATCCAAAAGTCTTCGGAAATTACTTTTTGTAAGAATTCCATTGTGATCATCATCAAATTTATAAAATGCAGCCCGTAAATTCTTAAAAAAAAACAAAACAAACAAACGAAATTAAAATCTTTTCATAAATCAAACTTTCATATATAGAAAATGGGTATCGGTATATCTATCAATTATAACGAGTAAATATTCAATTTTATTTACAAAGCATAAGAAAGTTTGAATATGAAACACCACAAACTTGTGTTGAGTTTGTTTATTTCTCAGGAAGTTCAGAAAAGAACCATTCTGTGCATACGTGGTTGTGTCCTTGGGAAAGACACTGCACTTAACTTGCTCTGAATGCCATGTGATGGGCCTCTTGTATGTTGTTCAGTGAGGTGACATGGCCATCACTTACTATAAGGAGACCCAGCCTTAAAATGACCCCTGCTGCCCATACAACAAATAAACCCAGGAAACAAATGTTCTCCCCTAACAGACAACACTTACAGCAAAATTTTCACGTAGCTTGCTGAGTAATTTCTTCTCCACCTCATCAGCAGACATTCCATACTCATCTCCCCTGATGGGGTTGACGTGGTGGTTTCCAGTACGCTGTACATCATCACCTGGACCACGGATCCTTGGATCCTCGAAAGCCTGGACAAAGTCGCTGTACAACATAGAACTGTTCTGGAACCCAATCTTGGAAACAAGTTCCTGGAAAGGTTCATCTGCCATTGGCATACCCATACTGACCAATACCTTGAAAAAAAAGAGTAAAGGTTCTTCATTATGGATTGATTTCTCTTTCTTTCTTTTTCTTTCTTTCTTTTTCTCTTTTTCTCTTTCTTTTTCTCTTACTTTCTTTCTTTTTCTCTTACTTTCTTTCTTTTTAAATGAGAAATGCACATAAAATTACAAATCTAAAAAGAATCTTACGTAGGAGGGAAAACAATGCTGCAACTTATTTGGCAATATTTCTTCCAATAATATGACATTTTTAAGTACTTTTGATCATGGTATCAAAATGCTATGGCATTCGTAGTTTTATGATTGCCAAATAAATTACATAGAGTCTATGTTGAAGGAAAGACATTTTCTAAAGTAAATTAGCCCAACACTTCCTAGTGATGATTATAAAAAGAATTTGAAGACCACCCTTGTGTTTACAAATATGACTTCATTTAAACTTTCAATCTGATATAAAATTCAAACATTCACAGCAAAAAATGACTGATTGTAGACAAATTTTGAATATCTTAATTCTTGTCTGTTGAACCCTGTAGCGGCAGATAGAAAATCCTGTTACAGAGATGAATAAATAAATAAATAAATAAATAAATAAATAATATCTTACTTCTCTGAAATTGCGTTTGTTTACTTTTCCTTTGCCACTTTTATCAAATGACAGAAAAGCCTGTCGGATCTGCATCTTGTGTTGGGACATTCTGTCTTTCAGACGAGCCATCACTTCATCTGCTGTCATGTTGTCTGTTTTGTGTTTTGCCCTCCGTATATTTCGAATTTGTCTATAAGCAAAATATACATATTTCACTTCAGGAAAAAAAAAATCTTCAAAATAAAACTGAAAAGGTTTATTTTTTTTTTATAATTTCAGATGAAGAATTAATTATGTTTTGATATTGAACATCCGATCAATTGATAAATGCTTATAAACCTCTTGTCAACATAACCTTTAAATTCTTGTCCAGTACTGACCAGAAAGATTATCTTCCTAATCATTTTCCTCTGAGAATTGCATCTAATGATAAACTACTCTACCATCACCAGATGGTTCCAGATAATAGGACTGTCACCTTGAATATTTCTATAATTTGAAAATACATTATGAGATTGTAAATTTCAATAACAAACCGTTCCAGCTGGTCTCTACAACGGAAGTTTTCACGGACATGACTCTCATCATGAATTTGAGTACTGAGTCCGAGGAGATCTCCCGGAGTAACATCCACGTTAAGTTTTTCCAGGAATTCTACATAGTTAACTCTGCCGTTACCACAGTCATCACATCTCTGTAGCATACTGAAAACAAACACATAGTATTCCTTTAATAAACTCAAGGGGAAGTGGGGGAGGGGGGTGTCTTATTCTAACTCAGTGATAGAGGGTGGGCTTATTACAATACAATAAGCCAAGGAAGCCAACACCTTATTCTGACTAAGATTCAGGTGGTGGGGTTATTACAGAAAAATATGCAAGGAGTATTTTCTTAATTCCACTTAAAGGAAACAGATAATGATGGGCTTATTACCAAACATGGACTTCATGTGGTATAAAAAGCTTCACAGAATTAATCACTTCAAGAATGGGAATTTCTCTTTCATAATTTCTGGATTAGAAACAGTACATATTATTTTTTTCTATAAATCTGGATTTCTTTAAAGCTAATCAAAGAAATACAAGAAATGTGCCATCAAATTGAACACAAATAATTCTGGACTGTGTAGGTATAGATTCCTACAATTTATTGAAATAGTACCATAAAATTAGTATATTTTTCGATACATTAGTACCAGCGGTATGTACAATTATTTTTTCATAGGCTGGTACAAACAGCTAAAAATCTTCTCTGCAAATCAAATAATAAATCTGGTTCCAGTATTTGTTTTTAATATTTTGGCTTCCTTGATTTTTAAGCCTAAAGATATACTTACTGGCTGAAATGCTGGTCAGAGATTGGTAAAACGTAATTATCAATGACTTTTTTCATTTGTTCCTGGGTAATGTATCCTTGATCTTTATGGTCACAATCCACGATAGCACCCGATACAGACTTCCAATTTTCTGTGATTTTTTCTCTTAAGATGTCTTCTATCTGGAAATAGGTATGGAAAAGCTGGATTAATTTCAGAATTAATAAACCTGTATCTGAATGAATTTCTCAAAATTGATTAATTCAAATAAGGTCAATCTTCATCCAATAGTTTAAGTAAAGTAATTTTGTGAAGGTATAATATCAACTGAACATTGTCAAATATAAAAAAAAAAAAAAAAAAACAAACACGTATGCTTGTTAGAATTCTAAGTCCTGATGTTCCATTACCTTTGTGTTTTCTAAAATGAAATCATCTTTAATTTTACAATCCATAGTATCACAAGTAAGAAATCTCACCGTTTCCCAAGCCATGATAGCTGGTTTTGGATTTTCGTTGAATTTATGCACTGAATTCAGCCATTTGTGACCCTCGGCCTGTGAAATGAAATTTCATCTTTTTTATCACATACACAATCTGTAGAAACTTATTTAAGCATCGCTAAATCACAGGAAGTCAACACATTACCTCTTAACTTGAAGTTAGGGGGTGGGCTTATTACAGGACAATATCAAATTTATTTATAATTCTACTCTTTACAACAATAGGTAGGGGTGGGCTTATTTCAGGACAATTTCAGTAATCGTGCTTCACAGTAACTGATATCCACAGGCTTATACCTGGGCCTGGGCTTAACACTACAAAAATCAGAAATACCTACCAGAGATTCAGTTTCCTCAAATAGACTCAGGAACTGATGATAGGAGATATTGTTTGTATGCTCGGGGTCCAGTTTCAGCATCAACTGTTTGAACTGTTGATCATCCAACCGGAATGTAAACTTTTCAATGATGTTTCTTAATTCTTTCCTCGTCACACGCCCTCTACGATTCTGAATAAAATGAGAAAAAAAATTGAATATCAAAATTTTGAGCAAATTTTGAATTAAAAGAAAAGAAATCAAGCAGTACATTTATTTTATTTTTTTGTAATCATTAACTGACACAAATATAACCTGGGAAAATAAAAACAAATTTAGAAGGCAAAGAATCAACATATTAATAACAATCAGATGTGGATGTTCAAATATTAACTGCAAAATAAATTTCAGAACCAAAAAAATATTTTGAAAAAAAAAATGTGACTGACACATCAAAACTTGGGCATTAGATTGTAATGATAAATCTGGTATTACTTTCTGAAGAGATAAATTTTATTTCAATTAATATAGTAGTCAACACTTAATTAATTTGTAATTATGGAGAAAAAATCAATGTCTTCACAAGTAACAATTTATCCAATGATAAAAATCATTTCAAGGTACAACCTGATACTTAATGAACCTATTAGTAGTACAATGGCTGTTCCAATACCAAACAAATTTACTGTATTAATATCATATATTCTTATATCACTTTTATACATTTAAGTATTTCTCAACATTTTTTTATTAAATTTACAACTTTTAAATGTTAATTACATGTATTGTGTTTTCAGGCCTTCGAACATTCTTGTTCCTGACAGTGTTAAGATAATTTGTTATCACACTTACGATATCAAACTGTAAGAATGCTTGTTTGATAGAATGGTAGTGATTGTGTACATGTTTATACAGCAGTCGCCAAATATCATCCACCTCAAACTTCTGCATCTCTTCCCGAATCGGGAAAAATCTGAAGAAAAAATGTTGTCACTCATTTTTATAGGGTATTAGTTGGACTTACTTTTAAATGAGAAATTACAGTTTATTACAATCAATTTCATGATATAAGTTGCCATAATGATAAAAATATGTCTCCATGAATAATCATTAAAAATTTTGAAAAATTTGTATACAGCATTTTGAAAAAAAAAATAATAAAATAACTGAATATGAAATTCATATATATATGTAAAATTGCATTAAAAAAAATTGAAAAATTTTCTTGGCATTTTTTTTTCAGGTTTTTAATTACTAGATATTAGTGAAATTACTTGTGGCCTGGTTTGATGGGAAGTGTCTGTCCATTCCCTGGAGCTTGGGCATCTTGGAACTTTTCTAAAAATGCCTCCCAAGATATCTTGCCAGTTCCCCGGACATTACATCTGTAAATTACAACAGAAAATTGTCATATTGAATATTGATATACTGAACATTTCAAGATAAAATACATTCTACAATTAAAAACATTTGAAAGTAAAAGTATATCAATCCTAAGATATGTAATTTTTGATACATATAATATCATTTAGCAATCAAGAACAATACTAAATAATTCCTGTATGACAAATGCATATTATCTCCAGTAATTTAATCATAATTTTAATTATCAATTAATTTACAAAAAAAATACATAAAAATGTTAAAACAAGTTATTTGTTTTTTCTGTATTTTCTAAAGTATAATTCAATTTGATTAATTTTCATTCTGGATATCTAAAAAAAAATTGATTGCTATGTATTTTTTTGTATGTAAAAGTAATGATTAAAAAAAAAAAAACCAAAACAAAATCAAACCTTAATATAATTTTTCTTTTCCGAATATTTTTCTCTTCAACTCTTCAAATAGAATTATTTTTTCTTGTATGAGTAGATTTTATACTTGACATCTGATACAATCCCCTGTCTTTATTACAGTATTGATGATGTACCTTTCCATCAGCTGTTTAAATAGAGGGTCCGACATTGGGATGGTGAACTGTGTGAGAATAGATCTAAGATCTTCCAGATTTATAAACCCGTCCAGGTTACGATCAAATGAAATAAAAATCTTCTTCAGGTTCAGGTAGTTCCGTCTCATCTGAAAAAGTCAACAACAATATATCTGTTATCTTAGATGACTTGTTTCTTCCAAACAATGAATTTTTCATTACAGTAAATAGTTTCAATTTTCTAGGTTTTTGTAGATATATGAAATAAAAACTTTCAACTTTTGATATTTTCAAAAGAAATTATTTTAAAATTACATATATTTACTATTCTTTAAATTTTATAAAATTTTCTCAACATCAGGAGTTCTAAACTACTACAATGTAAAAATAAGAGAGTTTAAATCCATTTGTAATGCTAGTCAGAGTATTTATTAAAACAAAATAAAACTTTACTGTGAAATAATTAATTTTCGAGGGGGATTTATTTGCGTTGATATCATGGGAACTCTTTATCCTAGAATTCATGTGTCTACAAACTGTGGAATTACGTAGATCTATTGAGTTATATCCATCCACAAAAATCAAGTACACACAAAAAAGTATTGTATTGGAAAAACCACAAAAATTGAGCCCTCTGAAAATATATAATTTTCCAGCACTATCAGGATCTTTATTTCTTATTTCTTACAAGGGCTTGATGATGAATTAAAAAGTGTGTGTATTGATTTAAAATCAAATCTAATTTTTGTTTCATTTTTTTGTACAGCTGAAATATTTAAGTATTAATGATTTACAACTTTTCATTTTCGTTACTTTTGAAGCTATACTAAAGTTCTCAAATAATTTTATCACTATTAGAATTCAGTTATGTACCCGCAGTCTGAACTCAGCCTCGATTTGGTCAAAACTCATTTTCTGTAAGGCTTGCTCATCATCTTTCCTCTGTTTTAGGAGAGTATTTCCCATGGCAGGAGGTGGAGGCTTTTGGGGCCACAGCAATGCTGGTGAAATAAAAAATAGTATTTAAAATGTAACAAATACTGTTCATTACTGATTTTCAGATTAAACATAAAAAAATTGTGACAACATCACAAAGGGTATTTTTTTCACAGAAAAACGAAAAAAATAATTAATTAAATCTTAAAAAAAAAAAAATATTCTACCGATATGAGGGAGATTTCTAATAAGAAAAATCAACTTTAGGATTTGTCTGTATTATGAGATTAGATTTGTCAGCTAGTTATCTAGTTAGACATGCGTCATCTAGTAATACTGAGGCAAAAGGAAAAATTCAAGGTCATATATATAAGCTTCTATAGTCAGCTCACAAAAACACAAGTATGAATCTTGGTAGAAACTACTTTTTTTTAGAAATAACAATAATAATAATGAAAGTCAAACTCCATTCAATTTTGTCTTTTCCTAATATTTGTATTTCTTTTTTTTTCTTTTTCTTTTTCGTTCCTTACTGGTATACTATAACTAAAGCTCAAGAATTACTTCAGATTATATGCTACCATATGCATTTTTTGCAAAAATGGAGATAAAGGGTCAATATTTAGCATGTTTTCACAGATAACTAGCAATTTTACATTGTAAATTTTTTTTATTTTTTTTTATTCAGTTTTTTTGCCGTTAGTTAGTTTACTAAGTTTCAAGTTTTGTGGCAGGTGCATATTTTCTTAGTAATGTTTTTTGTAAATATTATCAATAATGAACAGCTTGTCAACATTCAAAGATCGTACAAATAAAAGTAAAAAATCTCTATAAGACTTGAATGCACTTGCTCCTATTCTAACCAGAATTTGATAAGGTGTATAAATTGATGTTATGATACTATGAAATATCTGTTGAGAGGTTCTCAAGATATAACATTGATTTGGTAAGGGACAGGATGGGATGGGATAGAACCGTATGAGACGGGACAGAACAGGATGGGACAGAAAGGGAGAGGACAACAAGACTGACAAAATGGTGGAGACATAAAATACATATATTAATACAAAGTATTAACATAAATAACATTATTTTGTTTGTCTTTTTTTCTCTATAAAAGTAGAAAAAAGCACACTACAAGAAGCCATGCATCATTTACAGCAGACAATGGGTGTACAAGCTATACATAAAACAGTACGATAATATAGAAAAACCAAAAGTGAAACTGCCTTCACAATTTCATTAATCTTAACTTCAGATCATGCTACCATCTGACCTTATGACAAAATCTACTTTGAATATCAGACATAATTTAAAAAAAAAACAGCATTTCTCAAAAAAAAAAAAGAAATAAAAAAAGATTAAAAAAAAAGTTTAATGTAAAATTCTTGGTAATTCGTTTCCACGGTGTCTTTTGTATTTAAAAGTTGTTCATTTATTAAATTTATATCTAAAAGTAAATCAATTTTGTTTTTACAAAACAGAAATTAAAAAAAAAACTTGTTTCAAGTTTCAAGTTTTTTCTTATATTTGTGTATTACATGGTTACTTTTCCTACCTACATTTCAGAAACTTACATTGATGAAATACAAAAATATCTAAACAACACAGTACATGTGGCTTGTCATTCCTTTCAATCATTGTGAGTAAACTTTCTTCTATGTCAAATAACTTGATATGGTACATGCATGTGCAGTGTGATATTTATGGAATACCTTACTCGGGAGAAAAAATGTTTGTTCCAGTTTAACCAAACATTTTCATTCTGAAACTGAATTATGATTCACAACACAAGTTAATCATAATAAATATTTTTCAAAACAACAGAAAACAAAGGAATCCTAAAAATACACTTTTAAATAAATATTGATCGTAATGTGAAATCAAAAGTTTCGGGAAAGCAAAACTGTTAATAGCTGTAACAGAGTATTAAGTGGTATTGTTTCTGAAATTTACATACCAATTAAGAAGTTAATACTATTTGGGAAGGGATGTTATTTATCATTGCAATAGACTTCAACTTAACTAGTATATTGCGAAACTTTTTATATTAGATGTATTACCTCCCTTGGCACCATCTTGTGGTGGCGGACGAGAATGTTGTGCCACGCTTACACCCATACGTTCCAGAAACTGTTTGTAGTTACACAAACCAGTGTGGTGGAAGTCGTACCGCATCCAAAGCCTACCAACATAATGAGACAGTATGACGTATAAAGCAGAACAGACTTACTGTATTTGCCCTTCAATAAGTCCAGGGGGATAACATGTAACATCTGACATAGGGGTGGGCTTATTACAGGATATGAGCCTAGAGGGATAAAACATAAAACCTGACAAAGGGGTGGGCTTATTACAGGACTTGAGCCCAGAAGGATAACACATAACACCTGACACAGGGGTGGGCTTATTGTAGGAAAATATGCCCAGGGGTCAACACATGATTTTCTTGCTCGAAGTCAGGGGATGGACCTATTACAGGCCAATTAAATAACAATGGTTTGTACATAAGCGGGCCTAATACCAGGAGTGGGTAGATTTCAAGAGGCGTACAGCAAACATTTAACATATAGCTTTCATAGTCATTTCCAGTACAGCAATGAATACTCGAAATGTTTCCATTTATGTGATAAATTTTAATACTAAAGACTGTCTTTCTTTACTTTTTTTACTTCTTTTTTAATGAAACTCATTTAAAGTACAAAATGCCTTTCAAATCTATGCATTAAGTTTCAAAAAGCCTTATGCAGCAAGATTTTAAAATCAGCTTAAAAAATCGAAATAATATTATCACAGAATATTACACTCACTTCTCAAACTGTGAATCAGAGAGTTTGAAACAGTAGTTATCCAACACTCTGCGTAGTTCGTGTCGCTGGATCTTCCCATCCCTGTTATAGTCAAACATCTGTAAAGCTTTGATGACCGCCTTCATATTGTTGGAAATCTGTATAAAAAGAAAAACCAGAATTGTCACCTAACTTAACCATTGAATCAGAGCAAGGATGTGAACTTATTCTGAGACAATAAGCCCAGAGAACCAACACTGAACTTTTGCCTCAAAGCAAGAAGGTGGGTTATTTATGAGACAATAAGTCTAAGGGCCAACTTATAACTTCTGAATCAAAGCAGAGAGGTGGGCTCATCAGGGGATAATAAGCCCAGCAGCAAACATGTAACTTCTGTCTCAAAGCAGGGAGGTTGGCTCATTATCGGAAAATAAGCCAAGTGGCCAACATGTAACTTCTGTCTCAATGTAGGGAGGTGGGTTCATTATGGGACAATAAGCCCAGGGGTCAACATGTAACTTCTGTCTCAATGTAGGGAGGTGGACTCATTATGGGACAATAAGCCCAGGGGTCAACATGTAACTTCTGTCTCAATGTAGGGAGGTGGACTCATTATGGGACAATAAGCCCAGGGGTCAACATGTAACTTCTGTCTCAAAGCAGGGAGGTGGGCGTATTATGGGACAATACACCCAGGAGCCAATATGTCTAAAAGCAGGGAGGTGGACTCATTTATCATAACATTGGAAAGTGAATTTTTGGCCAGGTCATTTGAAAATGGATAGCTAGATGTAACAAGTTTGAATATGGCAATTTCCTTTTAGTTTTGAACTACCTTACAGGTAAATGAAGTCTTTCTTCACCTGAGAGGAGGATTAGATAGAGGGCAGTAATTGATGGATGTTGGATCTCTGGTCTGAGTAGATACACAGCAGTCTCTCTTATCTCTGAATCGATACCTGAGACTTCGAAATTTGACATGTAAAGGTCAAGGTCAAAGTACATCCATACTGTGATTCACTTACCCGATCTTTCAACATCTTTTCAATCATATCGATGTTGATTTCTCGTGCAGTTGTCGGAGGCATGAACCTGCAAATAGACAAAATAGCATTGCTATAGTAACATAGAAGGTCAAGTCAGGTGACTTAAACATAACACAATCATTATTTACTTTAGAATCCTGACAGGTTTTCCTCAAGTAATCTGGTTTCCTCCAACAGTTAGACCACTCACACACTTCAGTCTGGGTCTACTTGAGTGATTAGATAAAAGAGATCTTTTACACAGATTTAGTCTATAGTGTATATAATAAAAACAAATTTTGTTTGTGTGATGACAAAATACCTAATTTCGTAATATTGAAAGAAAACACCGTAAAAGCATTCAATATCTTTTTCAATTTAGAATGAACAAATATTTGATAAAACTCCCTGTTTAATGGATTAAATGCCCTTGTCAAGAAAAATATATATACTTTTATTGTAAATCATAGAAAGACTGCATACAGAGACTTTTCTGTTCCCGAACTTTTCAGTACTCTATTCTTTTGAAAAGTTGAAAATGTCTATGATATTTGTCTTTTTGTATTTTAAAAGAGTTGTGAAAATAATTCAAACATTCCTGTCCATCAATGAAGATCTGATTTCCATTCAAATACATGTATTGGAAAGCTGCATTCTAATTTTTTCCAGATATTAACTTTCTAAAATTAGACAAATATACTCAAAATTAAATGAAAATTTGTCATCAAACTCAATCCATTATCTCACCTCATTGGACCATTGACACGTTTTTCTGGACTGGCTATTCGGGTGTCTTGACCATAAAACTTGTCTAAAAAGTCCAAGTACTTGACCGTTCCATTTGGGTTTTTGTCAACCTAATAAAAAGTTGTATTAAAAAATAAAATTAATCTAAGTAAATAATTAAAAATAATTGGAAATTATTATTAGCATACATTATACAAGACATATTAAAATTTTCCACTTAAAAAACTTCACAAGTGTTTGTTGGTTTTTATTATAAAAACACAATATATTCAATATTGATGAAATATTACTCACTTAGAAAATGCACAAACTTCTTAAATATCTCCATCACATTCTAAACTGAATATTGAAATTTATTCATTATGACCTTGCTTTATTTCAAACTGGAAAATATTTACAAAAAAAAAAAAAAAAAAAAAAATTTACCTATGTATTTATGTATAGTCATCTGGGTTTCTTTTCTTTTTTTCAATTTTAATTCAATAACTGAACCAGACAAATCAGTAACTAGTTATAAAGTTACAAAGCAAATCATCTAAAGTTGTGATAGTGGGTATAAAAAGTAAGATATTTGTTGTAAAATGCTCTAGGTGTTCAAAAACGTTTTTAAATGAAAATAAGATGAAAGTTCTACTGTGAATATGACTGTGTATTTACTATCATTGCATTAGGTATCTTACTGAGTGGATTACATAGATAAAATCTAAATTGTGCTTGTTTGATGAAAAAATAGGAAAAAAATAATAATATTATTTGAAATTAGATTTATTTGACGTATCATGTTTTAAATTGTTCTAAATTAGGTGATTGTAAATTCTTCAAATAATTTAATTCTTTGGGATATATTTTGATTTTATCCAAAAACATTTTAAATCAAATAATTTTTGAGTTGGTTAAAACATTTAAAATGCTGTTTAGAAAATAGGAGCAATATTAAATAAACTATCTTATTCATATGAAAACTTTTACTGTACTCTCAATTAGAAAATTTAATTTTCTGTTTAAATAAATTTATAACATATGCATTAATTGATATTATTATTCAATGCTCTAACTTAACATAAAGTCATTTTAACGTCATTAAAATTCTAAAATGAATTTTCAGTAAAATACTCAACCTGACATGATTATTTATTGATAATTTTCTAAATTAAAAAGTTTGAAAAAATGACAATTTTCTCAAATATTTTTTTGAAGAATATCCCTAACTGAACTAAAATCCCTATGTGCCTCAAACAATAATACTTATTAGTAGTAAGTATTTTCTAACATAAACTGTTTATAAAAAATATGAATTACATGTGTGAAAAACCACAATTATATATGAATGGTAAAGTTAGAATTCATTTAGTCTAGTGTATATGTATCTATATGTTGGATTTTATTATAGATCAAAAATTATTTAAATACAAAATATACTGCTTTAAAATACTATAAAAAGGAATCAAAGGCAAAAAGATTATATAGCAATGATCATCAACTCTGAATATACAGATCAACACTAGGAACTTTGCTGAGGGAAATTCACCAAATCCAGGGAGAATGCATTTACCGCAGGAAGTAAGGAGGGAGAAATTATTATCAGGGTGTGTGCTTCTGAAATGGGAATATTGCATAGAGGACTGGATAGAAGATTGCGAAAAGAAATCTACCAAAGAGAGACACACAATATTGGGTGGATCTTCAAGAGTTGTGGTTCTTAGATGAGTTTTTTTATCTAGTGCAAAGTATCACCATGCCACACTATAAAAGTTAAAAGAATATTTCATATGGCAAACATGACAGGATTTTTTTAACTGCATCTTATCCTTGCAATGAGACTGTTTATATTTACAAAACACTCAATTATGAAAACAACAATAATAAATAAAGTTACAGTGTAAAACAAATGCAAAGTAATATACAATTGTAAGCAACTCATTAAAGATTAAAGCAACATCCAATATATGATTTCATAAATTAAAGAAAACAAACAATATATCATATCTCCTCAATAAAAAAAATCTACAAAATTCTCAACAAGGCATTGTATATATAGACAGAGCAATTTTGATTTAAAGTGCAGTATTAATTAAGCTGTACGCGCCGCACGTGTAAAAGGCTACAGTGACAATATAATGACAGGCTTACCTACCCAACATATAATATACAAAATGTTTCCATTAATTTTTAATATTTCCAACAAAAACTATCTATTTGTGAGTTGTGACCCTTTATCTCACAAAGCTACTTGGAATATTTCTATTGCAAACTGCCACTCTGAGTTATCATTAATTGTCCTTTTGGTTATAAAATCCAGTTTATTGTGAAAAAAAAAACCCAAAAACTTAAAAACAGGATAATTATATTAATAACAAATTACTATTAATTCTACCTCCCTTAAGAATTATTATACCATTAAAAATACTTTTTATATATATTTTTGCCTTTACTGCTATAATTCTAAGACTTACAATAACATTTACTCTATTCATATTTAAGAGTTTCTCATTAAACCATTCTTTGAATTTGTGGCTGATTCTCCAAGGGATACAACAAATTTGAAAACTAAAATACATTGTATATTGAAAAGTATGCCATGGAAAGTACACATAAAAAATGCCTTTTAATTCAAATTTTCAATTACTTTGAAAAAAGATTTCAAAACTTTTCAGAAAATCTGAAAAAAATTAATACACGAATAAATAGATGAAATATCGCTTGGTCAGTTCCATCTCTGATAATTATTTATGCCCTGTCATGGGTGAGAGTTGGAAAAAGAAGGGTGAGTTATTTTTAGACAGACACTACAGATGCCACCGTAGCATGGGATAATATTGCACGCCACCACACGCCATGACGACATGTACACCACCACAGATCACAGTGAAAGCGACATGTCATCCAGGATACCTTTGCTAAAACTGCTTCAAACTGCTCAGTGGTGAGATGACAACAAAATGACTCGAGAACGCGGCGAAACTCGCCCTTAGTTACGCTCTGATTTTGTTCAATATCGTAAGTATGAAACCCCTGTAATTAAACAATGAGTAGAGAGGATTAGTACCACAGCCCTATTAGCCACTAATTACATCATCTACCTGTAATAGATCTAAGTCTATTGCCTTCTTACCTGAACTATCAGAACACTTTTCTTTCCCTTCATGTTACCATTTTCGAAATGAATCCAACAAATTTGAGCACTATCTAGCTGAATTTTGCATAATTTTCTTACCTATATCATATCACCTTTTACATGCAGGTGTTAGATAAAGTTTATGAAATTATAAGCTGCCTATTCACTAGATTGAATTACTGTTTTAATATTACACCAATATAAAAGGATTGATTTCTGAATTTTCCCCCCCATATTGTCCTTAACTTTTTATTCATTGTTGGTTTAGCCTTTTTCTCTTCGATACAAACTTTAATCATTACATGTGGTCAACTTCAATTTACTTCTTTTTTTTTTTAATGTACATTTTCTAAAGAAAACAAAAACAAAAAAAAATCCCTCAAAATGTAAAATTAAATCAAAAATATTGTATATAATTAGTTCATTAACAAAATAAAAATATATTTCTTATAATCAAAATCAATTTATCTCATGATGAGGCGTAGACCTTCTCTTTTGAAATGTAATTTTAACTGATGCGTGTATAACGTAAAATATGTCTTTTATTTTGATCACCATGATTTTTTAAGTGTCTCGTAAGCTGAATCCAGCTTAACATCATTATGTCTGGCAATATTTTAATGTGTTTTATTGTAAACTATGATGTATGACACTATATTGAAATATTATTGTATTGTAATGTCTCGGATATCAAACTTAATTATGATTACTGGAAATCAAAACTGATGAGATGTTTGCAGTAGACATGCCTCTAGTCCTACATAGCCGATCACAAAAGCATCTTATAAGTAGCTTCACACTTTTCCAAAGTTAGAAAAAAACTAGCCAAATATTATACTAGATTTTAATGAAAATGATACCAACAAACTACAACTGTATTTCATATGTTGGAAATGGAAATTTTAGATCAGAATTATGTTTCATTTTTTTTTTCATAAAAAAGAAATCTAAAACACTTGGATTTTCAACAAAAATAAGATTATGAAATTCACCATTTACGATACTAACCATCTCACTTTAACTGAATATTGTTATTAATCACCTATAAACAATTCTGTATTTTTACCTGATTATGGTTTTACCTTTTAAGGAATGTTTCAATAAAGTGTCATATCTACCTATTTTTTATCACAGGAATGATTAAAATATTAAAAAAATTGATTTCGATAAATAACAGTATTAACAGCTAAAAAGTACAATGTACATTATGTACAATTTGTTTATAGCTTCTATGTTTACTAGAAAATACATGAATAGGACTACATTTGTAAAATAATGTGTTTTCCATCTCACACATATGAACAAGTATGGGATGGAGATTTTTTTTTTCTTTTTTTGATGTGGGGGTGGGGGTAGGTGAGGGGGTGTTGGTGTTGATTTATTTACGGCACTTTTTTATGATACTTTTCAATAAATCAAATATTTTGACATTTTACTGAATATCAGTAATGTTTAAGTATTGCTAAAAATTATCAATTTTAAAATATGACAAAATGATTTCATTTCAACTGTTTTAATCAGTGATAAGCCAAGGGAGACTAGAACAGTGTTTTGTATTACACTTTAAAGGCCATACTCGTATGATATATTGTGTAAACTACACTAAAAGGAATATATAGTATATATTGGTATATCAAACTGGATCTGGTTATATATTATGTAGATATATATAATACATGCATAAAATTTCATTATAATTAGAGGTTATGCAACAGAGTATCGTAAGAATGTCATTTGAAAGAAAATGATCAATATTAGCAACTGTAGTTAAAACGATAAAATAATTGCAGAATACACTGAATATAAATCAATTATATATTCATAAAGAATTTTTATCTTGAATCTTTGAAAAATTGGTAAAAAAATTAGTTATCTTCTAAAATACTGGAAGACATTGTTGTTTTTTTTTTAAATTACATATTAAGGTGAAACAATACCAAATAAATCCCAATAGTCAATACACAAATCAATTATGCATTCAACATAACAAGCCAATTAACAGAAATGTTGATTTATTAATTAAAATTTCAATTAAAATCTGTTTCTTATATATAACATGCTTACACAAAATTTGAATCAATGAAAGCAGTTAATTCTCATTTTGTTTAGTTTGTATTTAAATGAAAATTTGCATGAACAGAAAACTGTATGACATGCTATAATTAATTCATTCTATTTTTCTTTCAATCCATTACTACCACAAATACCAAAAAAATCTCTACTGATACCAAAAAAAACTACTTTACTACAAATTTCCGAATGCAACCATCATGCATGTATTTAAAAGAACTTGAAGGAAAGCTTTAAAAAAATTATAAGAAATTCATGCAGATTTGAAAGCAATTTACAAGTTCAATGCAGAATGTTAAATTGACATACCTGTATAATATTCTGGTGGTTGGCTCTCACCTTCTCCCGTAACAGAGCCTCAACTTCAATACTAGACATGCTACCAGTTGGAGAGTTTACTCCAATCTCTGAGGCTACTGGTGATCCTGCTAAAAATAATAAACAGATAACATTGACAATCAAATTTAAAACCAGAACATTCACTTTTAACGTATATTGTATTTTCATTTTCAAATTCTAACATATTCTAATTAAATTTCAAATAGGATTATTCTAGTACTTCAAATTAGGTATATGGGATGTACACAACTGGCAAAACTTATTTGGTAATAAACCCATCCATATATATCAATGATCAGTAGAATTACAAACAAACTGTTTAAAATATCTCCTTAATAAGTAAATTTTAAATTCAGGTAAGTCAGATAAAAAATAGAGTGCGTCCCTGGGCGTTTAACATGTTAAATATTTGGTAATTACACTACAAACTCAGTTATATTTCTCAGAATTATCGGAAAAGTCTTCCAACACAAATATGATTATAAAGTTAGGTTTATATATCTATGCTACCATAAGAAATAAAATTTCATTCATTAAATTCTAGAATTTGTGATGCTGTGTTTTTTTGTTTTTTGTTTTTAATTGGGACAGAGAGGGGGGTTTCTTTATCAAAAACATGTTTTGTTCAATCACTTTTGTTAGCCTGAATAAAAGGTCAAAATTAATTTGGTAAGGGACCCAAAACTTAACATCTTTTTATCACAATGTCAGTGATCATACTTACCATGAGAAGATGAGGAGCCAAGATGTTTGAGTCTGGAGTGGTCTCTCAATCTAGTACTGGGTCTGGCATTAAACTGCACGCCTGTGCTTGCTGGAAGCAGACTTGGCATTGCGGTCGCCATGTTGACCTATAGAAATTTAAAATAAAAAAGAAATCTGATGAAATGTTACGAGACAAGATTAATCTTAAAAAGGGATCCAAGTAATATCACAGCACATAGAGCTTCAAACTCTGCATCTAAAGGTGAAAGTCTGATATGTATGCTTCAATTCCTAACAACAGCAGTTTGTATAATTTTTGCTGTTGTACAAGAAACTTTACCTAAGTTGCCTTGCAGCAAGGAGACGCCATCATCAAAAAGACTCCATGATTTTATAAAATTCCCAGAAAGAATTGCGAATAATAAACTGTAAAATTCCCTTAGATGATTCAAATACAGTTGATAATTTACTATTGTAAGGACTTTTCGACTATTCAATCTACTTCAAAATAGAGCAAATATGAAGTAAATATAATAATGTGAATGTGCTTTAACTCAGAACTTTTCCTTCTTCTGCATAGGTAAATCTTTTCCCCTACTAAAATTTGTCTGAAAGGAAAGTCATAAGGTTAATTTTCATTATCATCAAAGCATTATGATATCATTTCTTAAGATCTTATCATATTTGACCCTAACAAAAAAGTTAATTGTTTGATTGTTTGTTTCTTTTATTTGCTGGATGTATCACTCTGAAAGCTGTCAGGGACATTTTGATGCAGTGTCTTCTTATGGTAGCTGGTAGATACCTCACTGATCTACATTCAGGAGGTCTATTGTATACTATCCAGAACAATTAGGGTCAAGTGTCATTCCCAAGGCCACAACCACATCAGCAAAGACAGTTTCATTTTTCAGCTTCTTGAGGAACACAAATCGTCAGGAGTTAAAAAAAAAGGTCCAATGTAAAGCCGTAGATCATTTTAATCATATTACTGATTCAGGTAATAATATAAGAACAAAGTTATGTATGAGTATGGTCAATTTGAAAAAAATGAAATTATAAATCTTTTCACCACCATTCCACCAGCTTAACAAAGGAATTCCGGTGAAGTTGTGACAATATTGCAAGCAGCATTTGTCATAATAATCACAGTTTAAAGTTGATATATGAATGGTTGTCAAGTTATTTGATTACAGGTATATGATGGTATTCTGTACATTATAGGTTTTTTCACATCTACATTTCCTGTGTTGATTTAGTTTGTAGTAATTACGAGTTTAATTTTCCCTGTTCAGAGTCATAATCCAATGCCATTGAAATTTTAACTGAATATAATAAAGGGCTCAATCCGAAATGCAAACAACGTTGTTGACATAAAGTTAGTTATTCAAGTATTCAAAAGCAACATTTGGCACACTTCACTGGTCAATTGTGGTCGCGTCCGATGTTTATTTAGCGATATACACACATGCAATACATGCTTATAATGATCAGCTTACAAATATATGACGATACTTTATGTCTTCTCTGAAAATGTCAATTATTCATCGTTTTATCACAGCTTTCTTACTTTTACAATAAGGCTCGTTACACTGTGTTTAATTTATTTCACTATGATACGTTTGTTTTGACTGCAAGACACATAGAGAATTAATAATATTTTTGAGCGACATCTACAGATAAATTAGAGTTAAGTTACCAAACACAAAAGGTAATGCAAAAGAAAACGTGTTAATAGTTTGAATACATTTGCTTTAATTTTGATTGATTTTGTGTACTCCCTTAATAAAAAGTACAAACATCAGTTTTCAAATCACCATCGTAAAACATGTCGGTAACCATTTGACAACAGGGAATTTCAGCAGCATATATCTCAAAATGTGATGCATTAATTACCTTTATTGTTATCCCGGACACTTATCGTATTAGTCCCTCAGGTGTCATAAACATTTCCATATACCTTTTTGTCCCACCACCTGTCGTTGTCACCACCGCGGCTTCCGTTGTCAGGAAGTTCTCTGGCGCCCCCTATCGGTGATAAATTAAACGGTAACCTTTCGGAACCTTTGGCTCGTCTCCGTATACATAAATCTAGAAATATTACCGGCAGAAACGTAAACAATGGCTGAGACTTTCTGTTTGTCCGATTTTGATGCATATGGATTCGATATGGACCACACTCTAGCTAAATACAAGCTTGGCAACTTGATGCAGGTACACCAAAAAGTGACAGGTCTTATATTTTAGATTGTCAGCACATTTATGTCACAGAGAAGGACTTTGATATCAACACGTGCTCAATGGTTTCTCGGTCATGTTTCCTTTACAGTGTTTTGCGATCAGGTGTTGAACCATGACTATCCATCATTGCATCATTCTGTGTATTCTGGAGAACATAAAATGACAAATATCAGATGCACTCTAGGCCTCTATGATTACAGTGAATCACATTATTTAAGAAGAATGTATTTAGTTAAAATGAATAACAGTCGACTATCGTCTCGACATCGGTTCCAGGCCGTTATGTATTTCGGAGCGACCAATTTGTCGAGCCGAATCACATGAACTATAGACTTGCGTGACCTCGCGCCCTGAATTTGGTTGCTGTAACATGTGACGCTTCTTGAAAAAATAAAAATTGTAATTTGAACCATTCACAATAAAATATTGAGTATATATTTCATCGGCAAATCTGTGTATTTTTTCTTAATACACTTTTTTACATGTCAAACATCCTCCTAGGTATGATGAAATAACCTATCAATCCATCCTCACATGCCAATGTTTTGTCTGTCATCGGCGATTCTATGTAATACATGTGTACTTCTACATGACCATAACACATACAAAATATGTTTTGTATATAATAGTCAGAACCCTTCAGATAAGTGTGATCTTTCTTTTCAGTTGAGTTATGAAGCAACTTGTGATTGTTTAATCCACAAATATGGCTACAGTCCCAAACTTAAAGATGACATTCATCTACACAAAGACTTCATGTACGTATAATTTGCTTACCATACAAAGGTAAATCTAGGGAAAAATAGCTTATAGATCATAAATAGAAAGTGATATTTGATATTTTTTTCATTTTATGAAATTATGAACATTATTGACTGTACAAAAAATCAGCTCTTAAATATTCTGTGAAATCTCTATATTTTCATTTTATGGTATTTTCTCATACTTCAATGTACACATGCTTTGATTTTACATCAGACATTTTCTTAACACTTCAGAAACCCAGTCAGGAGCCTACCTCTATAGTCACTTTATTGCTTGTACAATAATTACATACTGAAGAGTGTTACCAAGACCTGCCTATTATGGGTCCATATTTACAAAGGATTGTTTAAATATGGTATAAGGAGTTGTTTTTTACATGGGGATACACTGGTACAGTGTATTAGCAGTTTTGTGGTACATTAAAATGGTCACAAACTTGTAGTGTAACACACTTGTATAAGATGTCCTTTTACATACAGAGCATGAAATTTTCATTTGTGTAAATATAATTTGATTGTTTTAAAAGAGAACCATTAAAAAATTTTATCCACAAAAATTACTAGGTATACAGTATCTGTTATTCATTAAGAGAAGGCCACAGGTATATTTGCCAGGGAAATTTAAAATTGAAAATGCAGTAAAACTTTTCTCTGTGATTCATGAATTTTCTGAGCAAAGCAAAAAGATGAAAACATGAAATTTGATGCTTTAAGAACTGAACCACTGGTTGGTTATGAACTGAACTGCTGGTTGGTTATGAAGTGAACCGCTGGTTGGTTATGAACTGAACTGCTGGTTGGTTATGAACTGAACCACTGGTTGGTTATAAAGTGAACTGCTGGTTGGTTATGAAGTGAACTGCTGGTTGGTTGTGAAGTGTGAACTGAACCACTGGTTGGTTATGAAGTGAACCGCTGGTTGGTTATGAACTGAACTGCTGGTTGGTTATTAACTGAACCACTTGTTGGTTATGAAGTGAATCGCTTGTTGGTTATTAACTGAACCACTGGTTGGTTATGAAGTGAACCACTGGTTGGTTATGAACTGAACTGCTGGTTGGTTACACATTGTCCTTATCCGTGACTCTTCCTATCATAAGGGTGTTTCTTACCAACTAACCTCCATGTTCTGCTGACTAGAGTTTCAGCAGCCCTTGACCTCTATCTGAAATAGAAAAGTACACCTAATCACCTGTTTAATTAAGTACTACAGTCAAACCAGATGTCACCTGTAATCGTCATATATGTATGCATGACTGCTTTTAGACAAATTTTGATACCTTTTATAAATTTTCCTTTTCAGATGCAAGGGCTTGTTTCTGGATGCGGAACGTGGAAACATACTAAAACTATCACACGATGGAAAAATTCTCAGGTATGATCCTTATAATGAGTGTTGATACAAGTATTTATTTGATATATTGGTTATGCACTTGATATTTTCCGATATAAAAAACACGTCTTTGGGAAAAATCTATGCAAAAATAGATGAGAACATAGATGGTTCTAAACCATGAAATAATTTTTTAATTTTCGAATGTTAATTTTTCCCTTGAACCCTAAATCTGTTCAATCAAAAAGTAAAAGATGGTGGTCCTGTTCTCCATGATACCTCAGTTGGTGTAGCATTGACCTACATAGCCTCTGGTGATGATCGGAGATGTGAGCTTCAAGGCTTCCATGGCGGTTTGTGTTTCTCAGAGAGCTGAGAAATACTGACCAGTCCTTGCTGTCATGGCTCGCTCCATGGACAAGACACTTTACCCTAATTGCTCTGGATGGCATGTAATTGGCCTTCCATATGTTGTTCAGTGCAGTAGACACCAGCTTCTACTAGGTACCCCATCTCAAAATGGCTATGTATATGACTGTCATGTGATATTAATTCCAGGAAACAAACAAATTAAAAAATTTTGTCGTAAATTTTCTACCTCATTTTAGATCAACAATTTACATCTTTTGTGTGAAGCAATGTTTTAAAAACTTATATTAATCCAGATCTGATATTGGAAATTGAAAATAGAAATATTCATTTGTCGACCACATTATATTTATTTTGATTGTAACAGGAAACAACTTTTAATGCTATGTCACTAGAGTATTGATTTTGAACTGCAACAAACAAAGGAATTTGATTTGTAGGGCGAGTCACGGGACACGGATGATGTCTGAAAAGGAAATGGCGTCTGTGTATGGGGAAGATCTCCACTGGGAGCACTTCCACGAAGTCCAGCGGGATGTGAAATGTACAGGAGGTGTGACTATGTTTGTCCATTTTATCATCAGTGATTGTGTTGTTTTACTGGGATTGTCTCTTGCTTCTCAGGTCAACCAGAAAGTTTCATGACATTTACTTGTGTTTTGTAAATTCCCTGATAATGTGTGTTTTTTTATCATTTTAGAATATTGAGATATTTCCAAGTTCTGGAAGAAAAGAGAGATTGTCATTTAATCAAGAAACATTTGTTCATTTAGTTTGAAATTTTTTATTATTCATGAACAGATTTCTTAGAAATCCTGAGTTTAAATTTATTTTTTCAAATCTTAGCAAAAAGTGAAGTGTTTTTTTAAGCCATGAAAGTAAAATTCTATTTTTTGTAATTTTTTTTCTTTGGAACAGCTGGATTTAAATTTCGGTTCTTTGAAAACTATTTTGATGTACCAGGTGCAGTGATATGCGCACATATAGTGGACACATTGGATGAAGAGGTCTGTGCTTTTCTGCTCTTCTTTTTATCTACAAAAATTAAATATTGATTAAAGTTGGAACTGAAATATTGATTGATATTGATTAATTAGCAATCAATAATCTGATAAGATATCTTGGAATCTTTTCAATTAACACAGCTACTGTTAAAGAAATTGAATGACAATACTCAACAAGGGTTTGAAATTAAGAAAAGTTCAATTTTCAGAACTCCGCCTCTGTCATGTACCATACTGATCCTAAAATAAGCCCATCCCTCAAAATAAGCTTTCCCATATTTAATGAAGTTTAGTATAATTGTATCAAATACAATTTTTATGACTTTGGATAAAAGTTTATATCTTGGCTCCTTGAATTTATTATATGATCATCATGGAACCATCGCCTCAAAAACTGCAAACACAAATCACATCAAAGCATGTTTCCACATACCAGATGCGGCTAGACTTGTAATTTTCAAAATAATAAATTTGAGAATGTGTATTTACAAAAATTGTCTGTCATATTTTTTTGTTTCCAAACATATTTCAGCTCATTTTAGCTATCAAATTTGTTTTGTGTTTAGGCTGGTAAACCTCTGGACATGTATGACTTCTGGGAGGATGTCGTAGGCGCGTTCACCACAAATTTTATTCCAACAGCCTTCACAGGTATGATAAAAAAGAATGTTGAAAGACTCTCATGTAGATTTAGTGTATTGATTTTGGAACAGAAATTTTAAAACTTTAATTTGTACACAGAGTTTAAATAGAGATATTGTGTCATCTACACCCCTGTCGTGTAACCCAGTTGAAATGGTTCAGGTGGTCTGGAATTATCCCACTCTACATGAACACATATGTACCGAATGTTGAACCTGACACATGTAAAGCTCAAAATGCACAGTTTCAGAATTTCCTGTTGAGTATAAAACAATAAACCGAAATTAAGATACCATCCATTTCACTCATACTTAATAGCACAGAAATATGCACCGACTCTTCATTATGCTGAAATTCTGAAAACTACTGATAATCATCGAGTCAGTTTCGGACAGAAACAGGTGGACCCCTCAATCTGCACATGCCAAATATTCCGCAGTCTAGCCTTAATCCCAAATTGTACCTGGCATTTTCTTGCAGGTTTAACTGGTCCAACCATTTCAACTGCTTATGTGAAAGTGACTCTAGTCTGCATACACTTTGTATAGTAGCACTATTTTGTTGTTTTCTAATAAATCATATGAGATCATACTCTTAACTTCACTGTAGCATGCCTAATCACAATCCTGCTTCACTGATCCAAATAACCTGTCTCATCTGACTGCTATTGGACACAATATATTTGCCTCATAACCTGTCTAAACTGACCACTATTGGACATAATACATTGACCTCATTACCTGTCTAAACTGACCATAATTGGACACAATATATTTACCTCATTACCTGTCTAAAATGACCACATTGGACACAATACATTGACCTCATAACCTGTCTAAACTGACCACTATTGGACACAATACATTGACCTGATAACCTGTCTAAACTGACCAGTATTGGACACAATACATTTACCTCATAACCTGTCTAAAATGACCACTATTGGACACAATACATTGACCCGATAACCTGTCTAAACTGACCACTATTGGACACAATACATTGACCTGATAACCTGTCTAAACTGACCAGTTTTGGACACAATACATTGACCTGATAGCCTGTCTAAACTGACCACTATTGGACACAATACATTGACCTGATAACCTGTCTAAACTGACCAGTATTGGACACAATACATTGACCTGATAACCTGTCTAAACTGACCACTATTGGACACAATACATTGACCTAATAACCTGTCTAAACTGACCAGTATTCGACACAATACATTTACCTGATAACCTGTCTAAACTGACCAGTATTGGACATAATACATTGACCTGATAACCTGTCTAAACTGACCAGTTTTGGACACAATACATTGACCTGATAGCCTGTCTAAAATGACCACTATTGGACACAATACATTGACCTCATAACCTGTCTAAACTGACCAGTATTGGACACAATACATTGACCTGATAACCTGTCTAAACTGACCACTATTGGACACAATACATTGACCTAATAACCTGTCTAATCTGACCAGTATTCAACACAATACATTTACCTCATAACCTGTCTAAACTGACCAGTATTGAACATAATACATTGACCTCATAACCTGTCTAAACTGATCAGTATTGGACAATACATTGACCTGATAACCTGTCTAAACTGACCATTATTCGAAGCAATACATTTACCTGATAACCTGTCTAAAATGACCACTATTGGACATAATACATTGACCTGATAACCTGTCTAAACTGACCACTATTGGACACCATATATTGACCTCATAGCCTGTCTAAACTGACCAGTATTGGACACAATACATTGACCTGATAACCTGTCTAAACTGACCACTATTGGACACAATACATTGACCTAATAACCTGTCTAAACTGACCAGTATTCGACACAATACATTTACCTCATAACCTGTTTAAACTGACCAGTATTGGACATAATACATTGACCTGATAACCTGTCTAAACTGACCAGTATTGGACAATACATTGACCTGATAACCTGTCTAAACTGACCAGTTTTGGACACAATACATTGACCTGATAGCCTGTCTAAAATGACCACTATTGGACACAATACATTGACCTCATAACCTGTCTAAACTGACCAGTATTGGACACAATACATTGACCTGATAACCTGTCTAAACTGACCACTATTGGACACAATACATTGACCTAATAACCTGTCTAATCTGACCAGTATTCAACACAATACATTTACCTCATAACCTGTCTAAACTGATCAGTATTGGACAATACATTGACCTGATAACCTGTCTAAACTGACCATTATTCGAAGCAATACATTTACCTGATAACCTGTCTAAACTGACCACTATTGGACATAATACATTGACCTGATAACCTGTCTAAACTGACCACTATTGGACACAATACATTGACCTAATAACCTGTCTAATCTGACCAGTATTCAACACAATACATTTACCTCATAACCTGTCTAAACTGATCAGTATTGGACAATACATTGACCTGATAACCTGTCTAAACTGACCATTATTCGAAGCAATACATTTACCTGATAACCTGTCTAAAATGACCACTATTGGACATAATACATTGACCTCATAACCTGTCTAAACTGATCAGTATTGGACAATACATTGACCTGATAACCTGTCTAAACTGACCATTATTCGAAGCAATACATTTACCTGATAACCTGTCTAAAATGACCACTATTGGACATAATACATTGACCTGATAACCTGTCTAAACTGACCACTATTGGACACCATATATTGACCTCATAGCCTGTCTAAACTGACCAGTATTGGACACAGTACATTGACCTCATTACCTGTCTAAACTGACCAGCATTGGACACCATACGTTGACCTGATAACCTGTCTAAATGGACTCCATGTAGTACTAAACATATAGGTCATATATTTTACCCTTTATCATTGTTTATCACAGTTGTTGATGCATATTGTTGGTTTATACACACAAAACAAAACAAAACCAGATTGAGAATGCCATTTTTCTTCTGTCATCCTGTAGAGTTTAGTTTTATTTTTCCTTGTATATCAAACAGGATGTCAGATTTTTAAGGTGTCAGAGTTGACATTTTTCAACTTTTCATGGATTCTTGCAATGAAGGGACCCGAATGGAAAGACACAATAAATAAAAAAAAATAAAAGATTTCATTTTTTTTTTGATTTTCAGATAACTCTGGTTGGTTTTATCCAGAATTAAAGACGAATACCAAGAACTATTTTCAGGAGTGTAGCCAAGGTGTTAAACAATGGCTGACAGATCTACGACAGAAAGATAAAGTAGTTTTTCTTATGACCTCTTCAGGGTACAGTTTTGCAAGTTTGGTAATGGAAGTAATACTTGGGTAAGTCTGTGCATTGATCATCAGATTTGTGCTCATTCAAATAAATCTTATTTTGTTCTTTTTGTAATACAGAGTTATCTGCTCTTGTGAACAGTAATTGATTGTTACCACATTTCTTTGTGTGATACTAACGTCATAGAATTATGAGAGAAATTATGTAATTTTCTCACACAAACTAATGACATAACACTCAATACCTGCACACAAGAGCAGATAACTCTGCATCGTGAAAAGACAGAATATCGCAACGTACAGGATGTTTTAGTGCTTACATTGTCGCATTCACTAGACAACATGACCTGTGATTTAGATAGAGTTGTGGAGTGTATGAATGGTTATCAAACAGACAATTTTTGTCTCACTCAATTTTTCAAACTAGAGGTACATACAAAAATCTATTTACATATGTATTTACTTATCAATCTGAAAAAAATATGCAAATATGTATTCTTTTTTATTCAAATCTGACAAATCAAAAACTGAAACAATTATATATTATACAAATATGTAACTTTTTTTCTTGATTGACAAATTGAATTTTGAAATTTCATTGTATGTTTATGTCTAAAAATAACTTTTAAAAAAAGTTCATTTCCCTTCAAAATAGGAAGGGTAGATAAATAGGGTGTGTAATTATCAAAATTCAGATCCACAGACTTTACGAATTTCCAATAGTGTACAGAACATGATGAAGAGGACTACTGTCCAGAGGTCAAGAAAAAGCTTTCACACGGTTCATACGGTTCACACGGTTCATCAGTGATGCTATACCTTACAATAGGAAGACCCACAAAGACAAAAAACCTATAACCAACCAACCATAACCCTGCTTTCTTGTACTTTTGAATGTATACCTCTTTGTCAAGCTTTCACACATGGACTTGAAATCTTTCCAATACAATTGTATTGACTAGTCTATGTATGTGAAGGTGAAACCAAAGACCCAAACCCTTTGTTACAAAATAAATTCTCCAAACTCCAAAATTTTTCATGTCATGAATAGTGTTTAAAATTATTATTCTACTGACGTACTTTTCCTAACTAGTAATTATCACTTACTGGAAATTTATACACTTCAATGAAATTACTTTTCCTGCACAAAACTTTCAGGAAAAATCAAATAGATTTCCCATTGAAAATTCTTTGTGGATAGGGAATGAAAAAAAAAATTGAGTTTCTTTCTGTAAGGAGACAGTGGTGGAACAAACCTGTACAAAAATTAATCACTGGACAGAATAAAAAGTATAGCAACAGACTAATCATTTAGTCGAGGGTGATTAATCCAGTTAATTTTATTACAAACATGTGTTTTAATATATTTTAGTTTTTGATTTGGCGACACATATTTTTTGTTTTCTTGTCTTTCAGTACAGAATGGCAGTCGTATTTTGATCTCTCTCTTTTCAATGCCAGAAAACCTGCATTTTTTATAAACAGAACACCATTTTTGAATATAGGTAAGAAAGATTTTATCCAAAAGCTCATATATTTAGTTTCAAATTTAGAGGTTGTTGCAGACAGAAATACTAGATAACATGTAAATGTACATTGTACAAGTGGTAAAAGCAACCACGTTCGCAAATATATAAAATATGTGCTGTTACCTTAAGGTTGTAGCAAGCACGTTACAAATATGAGAAAACAAGATTCCATAAAAAAAATAATAATAATAAAAATTTTAAAAAATCAATTATTGCATTTATTTTGAAATAGTCGAAATAAGAATTCAAAACTATTGTGTTATATCTTTAATGGAATATTTTTGATGTCCAAGATTTTCCCAACATATAGTAGGCCTGGATTTAAAAAATGTTTTTCAGATGATGGAATTGAAGGAAAGCCTGTAAAGACACTGAAAAAAAATGAGTGTTTTTCTCAGGGCAACTTGGATGATCTCACAGCATTTTTATCTTCACAGACAAACAAGGAACAGCCCAAGGTAAACTTGACAGCAAGTTCTTACCCTACACAATGCAAGAGTAATGTCTTTCTTTTCTAACATCTGGCATTAAAGCTGAGCACAATGTGCTATCTGGATAGAAACAACCTGATATACTGTGGATTCATTTTATTTCGTGGGGGTCCAATTTTCGTTGTTTTCGTGGATGAGCAAATCCACGAATTTAAAAACACAACGAAATATGAACTACTTACTAAAGTAAGTCTTATATTGGTCTGTTCTGGGGACACAGATACCTCAGCTGCTTGGCTGATCAGCACGAGACTTGTACGAGACTGTCCACAGAACAGACCCATGTTTTATAATTTCTCATATAAAAAAACCAGTACCAGATTGTAAGTTGAAACCTATTCATTCATTGTGCCATCATTACTGTCGCTTGAAATGTGAGTGGAAATTGATGATGTTGACAATTTGTGACACGCTACGTAAAATGATGTTGACAGTTTGTGACACGCTACGTAAATTGATGATGTTGGCAATTTGTGACACACTACGTAAAATGATGATGTTGACAGTTTGTGACACGCTACGTAAATTGATGATGTTGACAACTTGTGACACACTACGTAAAATGATGATGTTGACAATTTGTGACACGCAACGTAAATTGATGATGTTGACAATTTGTGACACGCTACATAAAATGATGATGTTGACAATTTGTGACACGCTACGTAAATTGATGATGTTGACAATTTGTGACACGGTACATAAAATGATGACGTTGACAATTTGATGATGCTACACCTTGGTGGGTAGTGTTCTGGCATGTTACGGATGACTTCACCAACTGTGTGTCGGGTAGAGTTATCCGATCTCTGGCAACCAGTAGTGTTCCACTGATATATGTTTGATCAATTGTCTCAGGTGAGGACTGGGCTGGCAACAGCAAAAGTAAGATGTTACAGAACATCAGTCCAAGACTGACAGATGTTGATCTAAAACTTGATAGTATCAACAGATTCTATTTCACATGTATAGTTTTGTCAAAATAGCATAAAAATTTTATTTAGCGTTTTCATTTCCGAATTCTTCTATTCGGCTAAATGCTTGGCTTTTCAGGTTATCCATTAAAATTAAAAAGAAAAACCATATATTTGGTGCAAAGCTGAGGCAGAACAGAAAAGCATTTCATGTACAAGTTAGGTCAAGAGTTGATAATATTCTTGGCTTGCTGATCAAATAATTGCAGGAAAAATTTATGTTGAATTTTCTTTCATGCCAGGTTGTATACTTTGGTGACAGTCTGTGTTCTGACAGCTTTCCAGCCAGAACGTATGCTGGTTGGAGTGTGGTTCTTGTCTTGGAGGAGATGGAGGCTGAGGGATACCATTTAACAAAACACGATCTGGAATGTGACAATGAACAACCTACCAGTAAAGCTAGAAAGGTGATGACATGTATTATGGTTTTCTATGATCAGTACAATATTATCATAACCCTTCGTGAAATGTTTTGTGGCTTTGAGCATTTTCCTATCCACCTTTGTGTCCGATTTATCTATAAATGTGTATGGTTTTTGCAGCAGACATGTATATTGTATAACCTTGCAGTATGCTTGCATTATTACGGCTTTTCACTAACTGGTGAAAAGAACTATTGTTTTTGTTATGTTTCTTATTCTTATTATTCTTCTTCCAATATTGTGGGTTCGTAATCTTTTAAATTATTAAAGCTAGACATACAGTCTATTCACCTATTTGTAGATACGTATATGAAGTTGTCGATGCCGATTTTTTAAGTAGGTCAAAAATCCAATATGGCCGCCATGACGTCATAAGTTAAAAACTTTAAAAAGGCAATATCTCGAAAACCATTGATTGTACAGAGTTTGTGCAATAATTATTTATTTGTAGAGAATTTCCATATCTAATTTTTTCTCATGCCATATTAATACAAAATATGTCAAATAAAAAAGCTTGCTGCGGGGTAAAGTTTTCAAAATTTAACAAATTTTTTTCTTTTTTTTCAATTTTGAACTTTCTTGAAATTTTCTTCTTCAAATCGATGCAGAACATCCTTCCGATGAATTAAGTGTTTTGTTTTTCGTTGAGTCTGTCCGGTATCCAAGATTGTCGCCAAAGAAGTGAAAAACCCGCAAAATTGTTAGCAACAATTTCTAGTTTACTTGTAAATTGCTAAAACTGAAATCAGACTGAAGAATTTAAATGTGAATTGAAATCTGGAAAATATGAATCAAAAGTGACAAAGTGTAATAACAATGTTTGATACTGTAAATTAAGATATTTTAGATTAATCAAATTTTCGTGGGTATTTTTTGGGGGGGGAAATCATTTTAGTGGGCACTTCATTTTGTGTATGAATACTGTATAGCTCAATTAATCTGCATGTGCAATTTTAACAGTTGTGGTCATTAGAATTTGTGGTTAAATAAAACCCCCATGAATATGAACAATTCCACAGTATTTGATAACCAGATTTTAATTTTGTAGGTTAATATTGACATTGATCCAGAAGAAGAATCATTCCTACTGTCAAAAATGTGGGGCTCATTTTTCTATCATGAGAAGGAAGATAAGAAACATGACAGAAGTATGAACACGTTCTGGGGACGCTTAGTGAGTCAGTACAACGCAATAGCCATACCAATCATAGAGTATATCGCAGGTAAGTGTATAATGTCTAGCCTCTCTGTCTAATGCCTGCAATCAATATCTACCTTTATTCAAAACTGTATTCCAAACTACAAGTCCTAATGCCTGTACCATATGTTTCATGAAAATATGTTGTTTTACGTAAGAATGTTAAAGTGAGTGTTTTTTTCTAGTTAAAACAGGCCTTGATTACTAGTATTTAATTATGTGTATGTGATGGGCCTCCTGTATGTTGTTCAGTGAGGTAGTCACTAGCTGTACTATAAGGAGATCCCGCCTTAGGTTGACGCTGTCTGTTATGTCTTAAGGCAAGATGGCATGTGACAGGCGTCTCATATGTTTTTTCAGCAAGATAGCCACCAACATCTGAAAGGAGACCCTTGTCATGACTATTTTATCTTTTTATTTTAGGTATGCCCATTAACCATGTGTACACAAGGTTTGGACGGGAGGTCGGGAGTACTACTGGCTTCCATCCTGCCAAACCAAAGCCACTGATAGCCAACATAGGACCAGAGACCTCAAACTAGTTCTGAATATTTTTACACTACACTTCACCGTGAGCATCTTCAGAACATTTTGCTTCAGTGTATATTTCCAATACTACAGACATTTTTTAATAACATCATGATATCATAAAGTGGATAAAGCCATTTCTTGTTATAACATGAAGATGAAACATGTTACTTAACATTTCTTATCTTTATTTACCTGGTAGTAATATTGTATTATATACAGAGGTTCTAACAAATGACATTCGTATGAAATTTTATTTTCATCATGATTAATTAAAGGGACGAAGGACAAAAATATATATCTTACTCCCTACTTGTGTCCATTAATTTTTTAGGCTGGTTGGGAAAACAAAATGGCTGACAGGTAGCCATCTTGGATTTGACAATTGAAGTTTGTCATTGGTATTTCCTCAGAAGGAATGGAAGAATGTTTGAACTTGGTGTGCAGGCTCCCCTCAGTATCTTGTTGTGCCATTTCATATTTAGGTTTGATTGGGAACTAATGACAGTCTGCCATCTTGGATTTTAATTATTTAAGTCTCTTATTTCTACATGTATTTGTTCAGAAGTACTTGAATGATATTTTTGAAACTTGTTGTACATATTGTAGGTTCATCATGGTCCCATTTTGTGCCCAATGAATTATGAGACAAATCAGAATTTTAAATGTAGGTTCTCTTTGGTACCTTGCAGAGTAGAGCTCTCTGCATTTTGCCATTCATTAAAAAGTCAAACTGGCCGACAGGCAACCAACTTGGATTTGACAATTATCATTATTGCTATCACATATAAACTTTATTTATTTTACAACAATTGCAAAAACTAGCTATCAGCTTTTTGGCTCGGATGAAAGCTCATGGGGTCTTACTGTGGGAGGAGATCGGAGTACCCGGGGAAAACCCATGTGGTCAGGCAGGTGACCCCATACCTTTTCATGTCTGTTCTGGGAATCAAACCCAGGACGGCTAGGTGAAAGGGAGTGTGTTACCACTGTGCCACCAACCAATCATTATCCCTATTCTTTAACAGGAAAGTCAAATATACGTAAAAGTGATTAAATGAAAGAATGGAGGAAATAGTAGAAAAGAAGAGAAAAGATCAAAATTTTGAAGAATAAATAATGACCAAACAATGGTGGGTGTCAAGATCCCTCAGGGATCTCTTGTTTTAAATTACATTTTTAAATGACATACCTACACGTATATCTACAACACAAGTACAGTGTAAAAGACTGTTTACTATAAGAACTATATAAGATCATCACAGAATTTGCCAGATATCCCTGCCAGTTTTCCCATTAATATTTTTGTGTATATCCCACTATTGTCATATGCTAAGAAGCATTTTTCATTGACTGTGCTGGTTGGAAGTTGATTGTGATGTCATAATGTTGACAACCATGCAACCTCACGATTTGAAGATGGTGCTACAATATGGCTGCCTCTGTTTGATTTTACCCTCCATATTTTGATTTTAAAACTTGTCAAAACTTTGTGAGTTGTGCAATAAAAGATATCTTAGATTTGTTTTCAGGAGAGTTGAGATTTTATGAAAATGGTATTTAAAGTTTAATTTTCTTTTCTCAACTCATTTCATGAAATCTCCAATGAAATGAAACTTATTTAAATGTCATATATTTATCATAGAGTGAAAATGCTTATAACTTATTTCAATATGGAAGAAATTGAAGATGAAAAAAAAAATGTACACAGGACTGTTACAAAAAACACATTACAAGCGAATCAAGAGACCAATGGACAAGGGTCATCCGACTATGAAGACCTATGTATGATGTAATAACAGCACAGGTAATAGGGGACTATTATTAGATAATTAAAACAGAAATATTTGAGAAGTAAGACAAAAAGAAGAGAAAAAATTGCCTATTTCATCTTCTCAAAATTCCTTTAAAAAAAATCATCTTGATTTCACTAGTGGAGCTTGAGAGGAAGTCAATAATTTGTTTTCATGATTGGATTTTGGTCTAACTTGATCTTCTCAGATCATTTCAGACAAGTTTCAGCTGAAGATAATCGGTACAACTTGAAAAGAATTTTTAATTATGTGTTGTTGCAAAATGGCTGCCGTAGTTGCCATGTTGAACTTTTGATGAGGCCAAAAATGACAACACTTTTTCTGTGTTCTTTCCTTAACTAGGAACTAGAGAAGAAGTGTGGGATGTTGTTTTCAAGATGGTAGTCACATTGGGATTGTACCAACATGAAAATTAACAACACATCTAAAATCATTTTAGGCAATTTTCAGCTGAATTCTATTGAAAGAACTGGAGAGGAAGTTTAAAATATGTCTTACTTGAAGAAATCATGGTAGTGCAATTACGTAACCAAATTGCTGTAGTGGTTTCAATGTCAAACTTTTGACAAGGCTAAAAAATAACAATTTGTCCGTGTACATTTTTAACATCTCAACTAGCTTTGAGCTTAAATGGCAGCAGTGGAATTTGAGAAAAACATTTTAAATATGTTATCCAAGATGGCAATCGTGGTAGCCATATTGGATTTAGAATGGACTTGAAAAATCAAAAGTATACTCACAGGGGTCAGCACACGACAATGGATGAAACACAACTCCTATAGAGATAAGTCCGAGCCTTTGAGTAAGACAATAAAAGTAGCAAATTTTAAGAAAGAAGATATTTGGTCAGCCTCAAAGGAATTTAGCAGTCTGTACCAAATCATTAATATAAATTTCTGACTAGATTGAAAAAACCTATTTATCAATTAATTTGAAAAAAAACAAAGACACATGTGTATTAGAGTATATTAATAAATATTAATAAAAAATAAACAAAAAAATCAATATTGCCACTGTCAGCTTAGTTAAAGATTTGTCTACTTTTACTTACTTCATTGTAGCTAAGTGTAGTTCAGTCAATTTCATTTAAGTTAATAAATGGTGTACATTGTACTTGTAATATACCAAATAAGATATGAAAAAAATTATTGACAACATTGAAACCACTTCCTCTGGAATACTATTCGCTCTGGGTTAATTTTTATGACCTTGCATCCTGTAAATTATTTCGAAAATTTGACGCTCTGCTGTCACAGATGCTGCAAAATCTCTTTTCTTGCACGTCTGTAGCTCAACTTTGACAATTTTAATCAATTTCTGTTCAGCAATTCAGAAACGCGAGATAATGTCTTCCTAATAATCCCAGAGTTATCTCCCTTCATTTTTCCGCTCGATGATATACGCAGCCGTAAGAATTAACAGCTGATGGGCGGGGCCAAGAATGAAAAAATATATTCTATCTATTCTATGTCAATTGATTAACTGAAGTACTAGCAAATTAAGAGGCTACTGATAAAAATTTAAACTATATTCGCACTAAGTCAATTAGCCACTGACAGAGCGTAGGAACAACGAGCGATATATATATCGTCAATATTTGAAGGAAATTAAATCCTAATGCATGTCTTGCTCTGCGTTTGGCTCCTTCAATGTCGCCATGTCGTGTTTTTCGCCAAGTCTGAAGTCAAAGATCAATATAAGTTTACAGCTAATTGCCGTTAGTATTTGATCATTTTAAATACACAGCTGTATCTTTAGTTATTTTTGTCTCTTTTTTTTCTCAAAATTGAATTGAAATAATAAAAAAAAAAACATTATTTGCAATTTTGACATTTAACAGTGAATTGGGAAAGGACATTTTACATTTATATATAGCGATAAAAAGAGTTGTTTAAAGGACCAAGGACAGGGCGGTTTGAACAGTCCAACATTTTGTGATGATGGGTTAACATATAAAATTCCTGTGCATAATTCTCGTGTTATTTTCATTCAGATTACCTTTCAAACATAACTATTGTTCGGTAAGTAAAACAAGAAAACAAAAAACGCTTGAATGATATAAAGACAACACCATATATATTTTTTTTAATGAGTGGTATACTCACGTCTACGGATGCCAAGAAAGCCATCACCCCGAATGGTATTGGAAACAAGAGCAAGTTGACAATGGACAAGCAGATGTAGTTGTCTTGCCGGGAGGTTCTCTGATTAAAGTATAAAACCGTGACGATTTATTCGCTGTACACCTGTTACAGGGTTGTTTTTTTTCGTCATACGATCTACTACATGACGAATTTCAATTAAGTAAAATATGTATTATGTGTAATTTTCATTTCCAGTCCATTTATTAGATATTCCGTTTTAAACATCGACTGTACATGTCTGCAGTTTGAATTACAACTTACTCAACGGCTTTAAAAATCATGCCGATTATTTTTATTATTTTTTTTTTATGATTTCCTTATGGGAGTTTTAGCTTTTAAAACTTTTTTTTTCAAATATTTGTCTTTGGTGATTGAATTCTAAGTTACAGGACACTAGCTACCTCGTTATAATTACCCATTGTCCTAGACAAGTATGCGTTCAGAGAACATCCCTTTATCTGATATACGTAAAGCTATTTTTCGACAATAATTTCATTGTGCGAGCTATGAAACATCTGTGGTTCAACTGTGGGTTTAAATAATAACAAAATCGACCAGACGATATAGTTCAGTGCACACTAACGGAACATTCCATCGCTTTAACTTTTTTTTAAATGATTGAAGATTTTAACAATATGATTAAAAACCACGCGATGACAGAACTTTGCAAATCAAAGTAATCGTATTTTTTGTTTTCGTTCATATGTTATTGCAAATGTCACGTGTGATAAACATGGATGACAGTCGCGACATCTTGGAGGCAAATTTCCGGCAGTCTTCGGAAATCTACGTCTGGAGTAGATTTCCGGAGAATGTCCGAATTTTCCCAAAATGTTGCGTTTTAACACATGAATGAACACCGATGTTAAAATAAAGATTTGCAAGATCAAACAAAAGCAACATTTCTTTAGTTTTAAATTATCGTAAAATATTATTGGAGATAGAAAAAATTAAAAGATAACCTGTTGATCGACATAATCTACCATGAAAATGAAGCGAAGTCCAGAGCTTGATATTGTTTGACAAAGCTTAAACGTTAAGGAATTAAACTCAAGTTTTAATCACATTAGGCCTACATATCTTATACATACTTTAGCCATGGGTGGGTCCTGAATGGTCACAACAGTTGATGAAACTGCAATGAGTAAATGGGTAAATAATTTCATTTTACCGATTACAAAACGCAAATCCTGAGAACGACTCCTGTTCATCACTGGCCAAGTATTTTCAAGTGTTATAAACCTTACATGAAGTGAAGGATAATTTGTTTTTTTATACAAACCTGATAAATATATTCTGCCAAATATAAATACCATGCAAGCATACAATGAACACAAGTTTTCTGGAAATCATTAATTATGATAATTGTAATTTTTAGAAAGGAATTCAATTTTATACTGCTCATGTTCAACCAACAGCTAGGCTCATTTCAACAGCTAGGGCAATTTAATGACCGTCTCCGTGTACGTGTAAGTCTCCCTATGACACTGTGGAACTGCTGCCGAATTTCTAGCACTACTACACTGAAGTATACTGCCGAACGTGTCCAGCAGGGCACTTGCCCGGTAAGAGATTGATCTTGCTTCCGTGCATACACTATAGTGACAGTCACTGCTTTGAGAAATAAATTTTAAAAATCTAACACGGCATGTAATTTAAAACAAGCAGACATCAGTTCTTTCATACATTTGGAATAAAAAAAAAAGTAACGTTATTTATTTTGCATGACCAGAGTGCCCGTGCGACACTCTATATTTGCACGAGAAATACTAATTTCTGTTATCTAACTTGGCCAGGCACCGACTTCCCTCAGCTGATGATGATAATTACATATTTCATCAGTATACTTTTTTAATCGGTGTAGATGTATCACTATACATTAAAATATTTCTAAATGAAACCATCCTTATTTTCTACTGTGTTAATGTTGTATCATATCTTTAAAAAGAAATAATGTCGGTCATCATACCTTTGTTTAGTTCTGGTCGGAAACCGTCCCAATTATCCCACTCAGAATCTGGTGACCTCATGGTGGATTTATCTGAAATAAAACAATGCACTACAATTTTGTTTGTTGGTTTTTCCTAGCCCAGTTCTAAACTCTACTAGTATCTATTTCAGTCCATATTGCGAAGCACAACCACATTAAAAGAAAAGGAAACAGGAATTTTCGAAAACACTACACCTTCTTTCGGTTCCTGTACACCTAAAAAATCTTAAGACATTATTTTGAATTTTATGTGAAGTGATTTAGGCAAAATTTTCAGAAAAATCAGGAACCAGTCAGTTGCCATTTAGCGATCAAAAAGTAGCAGGTTCATTAAAATATTTAACGAACATAGGACCATATTCCAGTCTAATTAAATAATTGAGATATCTGTATATTCTTAAACTATTATAAGGGATCAGTAAAGTCCGTTGTGACATTCAAAATGAACTATTCAGTTAGGCGTGGTAAAAATGTTTAAATCTCCATCTGGCATAATTCTATTTATCTATTTATGTCCAGTACATCAATTACATAACTAAATGATATACAAATAAAGTTAGACAAATTGTTCGAACATTCGG